CACCTCCAGCCGCGTCCCGCCCTCGACCCCGCCCCGCCGCTACTCATCCTCGGCCGGAGGTGTTGGGGGGGACCAGTCGCAGGCCACAGCCAATGGGCGCCAGTGGGCCGGGCAGGCCCTGGCCGGTCGCCTAGGCGATCTGCCCGCGGTCCCCCTCCACCCCCAGCCCGGGCTTCGCGCTCCGGTGCGGGCTGGAGTGGATCGCCGCATCCGAGTGTAGCCGAGGCGGGATGAGCACCTGGAGCCTCCGGCGGAGGCCGGGCCGCACACTCGGACTCCTGCTGCTGGTCGTCTTGAGCTTCCTGGTGCTCCGCAGGTGAGAGAAAGACGCCCAGCACCTGCGGGACCGCGCACGCCCCAGCCCTACACACCTCGGGCTCTGGACCAGTGCAAGCTGCGACCCCTAGTTCCCGGGGCAGACAGCCCAGCCCACCTTTCTTGGAGCTCTCCAACACCCCTAGTCCCTTGGAGCCTGCAGGCGCTCGGATCCGGCTGGAGATCCAGACCTGGGTGACCCCGGCCGCTGTCCTGAGTCCCCAAGCTTCTGTGCTTTGACCTTCAGCTCCTCAGCCCTTGTGATGTGGGGCTCCCCGCGCTCTAGGAAGACCCTGTCGGAAGGTCCCCACGCCCGACTCCCTTCTACTCATCTCCCAAGCCCGCACTTTCCCTCCCAAGCCTGCTGAGGGTCTGTCTCGGGAGGGCAGTGCCCCAGCGCCAGTTATAGCAGATTTCGCTGTACTGTGCGGTTGGTTTATTTGCGCCTCTCTAGTACTGATAAATAAGGTCGCCTCTCTCCGCCCCTCAGTGGTTACTAGCTCACTCCCTCCTCCCATTCACAAATACTGCTTCTGACAAGTGGTGGGGTTCAGGGATAGAATGACTTACCCACCGCTTGGACAAGTCAAAGTTTTCTGGGTGCTGTGCTTGAGTTTTTCTAAACTGTATCTATTTATAGGAGCTTGCAGCCCTCACCATCTTTTAGGTCCATGCCTGGCACTTTCCATATTCAAAACCTCCCGGGTTGCTGGGAAGCAGACCAGCAGCAAGGAGCGTTTGCAGTGGACATTATTGAAGAGGTGAAGGCTGGGCCACTGGAACTGGTGACAGGAGCACACCCCGCAGCAGCTTTTCCATCTTGCTTCTTCATTCCTCCAAACTTCCACAGGAGACACTCATTTTCGATGGAAATAAAGGTTTTTGCTGCCATAAGAGCACATTTAGAAATTCCTTACATGTAACTCCTTTTCAAGATTTACATCCCTATTTGCTTCTGAAGTGGACAGGATGACATAAATATTGTTTGAGAGAAGAAATGGATCTTTTCTCACCCTAGGGTCCAGAAAACTTAGGAGGCATTTCGTTTCTCCAGTTGTTGGAGGACTTTTCCCACCTGGGCTGCCAGCTGTAACCCTCCCATTCCCCCTTGAGATTGGTCCATCCTCTTGGAGGATGCTCAGCAAGGAGGAGCAAGGCTGATGCAACTCCCCAAACAGTCTCAGGGCAGAGGCAGCAGGTTGCCCAGGTGCTGGGGCTCCAGGGAGCTGCAGGTAGCCTGCTGTGTGCCTGTTGTTGATCAGGAGTAGCTGCTGTCTCAGGCCTCCTACACAGGTCACTGTGAGGGCTATGCACAAGGGCCTGAGGGAAGCCAGAGAACACACCTGAAAAGTTGTGGGTAGGAGCCTGTCAGGCACCTGATGACTATGAGGAAGCCTGACCTGTTGCAGGTGACTTAAACATGTCCCCACCTAGGTGAGGTGGCCACTGTAGGAGTCAGGCTGGGGCCTCATGTGTGGCCTGGGATGGCAACAGAGGATACATAGCTGTGACTCAGGCCTGGGAGATAGGTTTGATGTGACTAGTAAAGCTCTTGTTGCTGCCACCCCTTCTTTCTCAGCAGGCCAGAGGAGCTCTGGACCAAATTTGGGCTGTGTTGAAGGATCCTTTAGAATGTGAATCTTTTTGATTGTATCTCTGCCTGGGTGCTTTCTGCCCAGTTCCTTCTGTCCGACTTGGGCTGGATACCAACAACTGTATTTATTCTAATACTCCTGCAACTTGGAGGAAATCATAGTGTATTTCCTCTTCCTGCCTCATCACAGCTGTGACTGGGTCATTAACTGAGTCATAGATGGTGACCGCTCCCCACTGTTGTTGGGGAATGTGTGGCCGGTGGAACACAGGCCGCACAGAAGCTCACAGTTCTGTAGAGCCCTGTCATCGTCAGGATCTGCGCTTCTCCTGGACTCCTGAGGAGGTATTTGGAGGGAGCTGGGGAGCAGGGGTTTGGCTGTTGCATCTCTTTTTTCCACAGGCTTTCCCTTGGGTTGGCTCATGGTCAGTCTGAACAGTTTGGTATCATATACAAGAAATAATAGGGCCAGTAGACTTCTGGGGAGAATTTATTTCAACCTTAGATTTTTAAGCTTGAACACTAGTCTTCCTTAAACGCCACCTTTATTGAAATATAGTTGTCATGTCATTGTACATAATTAACATATAGTGTGGTAAGTTTTGATACTTAACATATAAAGTTTGGTAAGCTCAGAACCTACCACCGCAATTAAGATGGTGAAAATATCCATTAGCCCCCCCAACTTTTTTACCCCTTTACCACTCCTCCCTCCTACTCACCCCTGCTCCCCACCCTCCAGCAACCGCTAGTCAGTTGCTTTCTGCCACCATACATTGGTTTGCATTTTCTAGAGTTTTACAGAAATGTAACTGAATGTACACCTTTTTGTTACTGCTGCTGTTGTTGTTGTTTGGCTTCCTTCACAGAGCATATTACTTTGGGAGGCATGTGTCCAGCATGCCTTTAAGCAAGATGTCATTCCTTCTCTTTCCTCCTTCTACTTCATGAACATGAGAATGCCTGCTTGATATGATCAAGGAATGGTTTCCAGTGGGCTTGTTTTCCTTAATATAAATGCATCACTGAGCAATAACTCAGTCATCTCTGCATCTCACATACCTGAGATTTTAACTGGTAAAAGTGGAAAGAGAGGAAAGCCTCCAGTAGGCAGCCAGCACCCTGCTCCTCAAAGACAGGTTCATTTCTTCTCTGAGTTGTATGTCACTCACTGTTTCCACACTGCCATTGTCTGGAATCATGACCCTGAGCTTTCCTTGTAGAAAAGAAAAGGGAAGAACCTGTTGTACTTCTCCTTGGTAAAGGTAGAGAGGTTAGCTGTGCAGGTCATTGTTGACCCAGATCATAGGCTGTCTTCCGATGCTATTCGGACAAATTGTGCCTTCTTCCTAAGCTTCAGAGAGGTGTTGATTTTATGAGCTTTGCCTGCTCGGAGTCTCTACTCTGCTTGAGGCCTGAGTCAGTCCCTGTAATATTCAAACTCTTTAAATGCTAGCCCTTTCATCTTCTGGTGGTGATGTTTTCAATGTCTGGAAGTGTCTCTTTCAGTAGGTGGTGATGAAACAGAGTTACCTGGACAGAAGCTCCAAGTGTGGGAGAGGTGAGATGTCTGAGCCACCATGTGCAGGGGAGACAGAGTTAGCACTGGGATTGGTACAGGACTGTGCTAGCCATCTATCCAGGGAGACCAGGATTGTCTTGAATGCTGACTTTAGTGGTATAATTTGTGTTTAAAAGATCTTGGCCACCAAGAAGATTAGGAGTCAAGAGCTGCAGAGCCTTGGCAGCAGAAATAGCAGCAAGTTGGCCAAAATGTTGTTCCCACCTTAGGTCAAGGAAGTAGCAAATGAAATAAATAAAAGTACCCAGTCTTTACTGAGATGACTCAGAGTTCCATTATATCACCTCATGTGCTGCTCTGTAGAAGAATTCCAGAGATGCTGGAGTTGGCAATAGAGTTCTCAGAATATTGCCTGAAAGGCCCTTTGGAGCTCTGGTGCTGTCTTCTACCCTCCTTCCCCACGAGCTGCGGACAGAGCTGAAGTGGGGCTCTCCCAGATGAGGGCCATTTACTTCTTCCTTTCCAAGCAGTTCTATCATTTGCTTAAAACACCTGCCCTGAATATTGAAGACCATACTGAGAAAAGTTCTCCTTCCATGCACTTCTCTGGGGATAGAAGGAGAGGGTGTTTTTAGAGGCTCTGGGTAAGGACGTAGATATGTCTGAGTCGGTTTCAGCCATTGGAGGCTCTTAGTTGGTTCTGCTTCTGGACTCAGATATTCAGCAGAATAGTGGGGTTGCTTTTGTTTTTTCAGGAACAAATGGCATTGTCCTTAAAAATGTAACTTGTAAGTAGGTAATAAATGAATCTGGTGGCTATCTAAAGATAAAGAGGATCTAGTGGAAAGAAACTCCCACTTCTGGAGCCTGGGCACCTCCCCCCCACCAAGAGGTGGTCACTGATAGCTATACCTCCTGTCCCATTTGCCCATAAGATATATAATTTATTGAAACAGTCATCTACTGCTAAGAATTATTTGCTACAATCTTTCAGCTACTAAAGTAAACAAAGTTGGGAGAAGTATTTGTTGTATCTATTTCTGTAAGTAGAATTGCTGACCATAACATATATTCACTTTAAGTCTTGATAGACCTTTCCAACACTGCACATCCCACTTCTGTTGGCCCAGTGTAATGGAGATTCTGAGCTCAACTCTGTAGTCTAAGGAAAGAGATTCTGTTAATTTGTATGTGGAAGGCAATATAGACTGCTTGGGTCTTCTGTGGACTAGCTTATCTCTTATTTATGTGTTTGTAGATAAGTCCCATGAGAAGAGGTCCCCCCCAAACCCTGGTACTGGGGATTTGAGTCTGGCCCTTTGCATGGAGCTATACTCATAAATCTTTTAAAAACTGTTATTTTGAGATGGTCTTGCCAAGTTGCTAAGTTGCCTGGGTTAGGCTCAAATTTGTGATTTCTCTGTCTCAGCCCTGAAGAATGCTGGAGTTACAGTTGTGCACCACTGTGCCCAGCTCAATAGATTTTTTTAAAAAAAATTTGCTACCTCCTCTTTTTTCCTGTTTCATGAAGTCATTCCCATGGGACTTTCAAAACATCTCCAAGATGAGGCTTGTTATTGACAGTAGAGCTCTTTTTGTGTTATCTAATAGTTTTCCACTTCTGTCTAGGCTGTGGTACAATAATTTTTCTATTTGTGAGGCCCCCAATGGACTATTTCCCCATAGTGAAAGTACAGCATCACAGAATACCAGGGCACTGATCATTACTGCTATGATGAGGTAGATTACTGGCAAGGTATGGTAAACTACTCCAAAGACAACACACATAGAAATTTCTTCATGTGAATGAATCTAGAATGCAGAATTCTACTTAGAACACTAAAGATTCCAATTCAGTTACTGACTCTCACAAAGTCCAATTTCCTCACCAGTCTCACTTCCCAAATTGTAGGGTTGGGGGTATTTCAGTCCCAGCAGACTCCAGCCCTGTTCTTTGCACCCTTGATGGTGTACTTTGAGGGTTAAGGAGGCAACAATTCACTATTTGGCCTAGGCTGTGCCCTGAACTCCTCAGCTTCAAAATATTCCTCCTGGCCCAATCTTTGGATCCTATACTGCAGCCCCAGGGAGGTAAAACTCAGTCCTCATGTCTGGCCAGGCTTCTGAGGCCTACCCTTTCCTCTCTGGAGGGACACAGCATGGCCCCATGGAGTACCCAAGGGTGGGGGGGCATAGTGCAGGGTGGCAGCCAAGGCCCAGCTGTCCAGTGTTTTCTGGGAGAAAGAAGTCACTTCTCTGAAATGGGTTCTGGTTTTTTTTTTTTTTTTTTTTTTTTTTTTTTTTGTACCTGGAATCAACTTCATGACCTCAAGCTTGAGAGGCAAGTGCTTATGCCATTGAGCTACATCCCCAGCCCTCACTTCTCTGAAACGAAGCCAAAATGAAACAGCAGAAATTCCAGAAGAAAGTGTTATATAAACTCCTGCTCCAAGGAAAGCAGGCAACCCTGGCTTTATCCAAGAATCTGTCATTTTGCCTAAACTGCTCACTGAAACAAAGCTGCTGAAGTGCCCAGGTTTCTTGGGGTTTGGTTACCTCTTGCAGCACAAGCCTGACCTACGAGCAGAGTCCCTCTGACTTTTAAACCAGCCAGATGTAACCATTCCATTGATATTTCCTTATTATCACTGAGTTAATTACCAGGAAATTATGGGGTTATTCTTAATCATGATCATTACTATTAATGATCATGATTAACATTTAATAACCATTTGCATGGTGCTTTGTCATTTGATACATGAAGCTGTACCTAGCATCATCTCCTTCCTCACAGTGAATGCCCTAGAGAAACCCAACGCTTATTGTGCTCGTTTTCTTACTGATTTCATTCCTTTTATTAAGTTATTGACAGCTTTGCCTAATAACCTGCCAGAAAATTCCCAGAAAGGGAACACTTGAATTATCTAGAATTTGAAATTTTCTAAGAGCTAGCTTTTTTGGTTTGTTTATGTTGTTTATTTCCTGCCTCTTGATAAGAAGTAAGAAGCAATTTTCTTTAAATCTAGAAAATGGTAGGATGTAGACACCAGCAAAGAGATGCTTCATTCAAAGAGACAACATATACACAGATCGAAGGAGAAGGTTCAGAGGCTCTTCTGAAGCTGTAACCTTGGGGATCTGATTAAAGTACAGATTTTGATTCAGCAGTTTTTGGATAAGTCTGAGTTTCTGCTTGTCTAAAAAGCAGTGGATATAGATACTCTGCAGCCTGCTGACCATGCCTGGACAAGTTGGCCTACACTGGCCAGCAGTGGCAGCACAGATCAGTGGGTTTATCCCCAGCAGGGACTGTTTTGGCACAAGGGTCACGGAGCTCTCAGTCCCATCTCTACACCAGCCTTGTGGGGAAAGGGAGGTGCTTACACCTCTAAGAGGAAATCGTAATGAGTGATGTGCACTTTGGCCAAGAACTAGAGATTGTGCTTTGAGGGTTCTAACCAGAGAATCAAGATTGCTACCAGGTGGGGTGATCACCAAATTGTATTATCATTACCTTATAAATCATGAGATTACGTGTGTGCATTTTTACCGTCAGACTGACAAAATGCCTGTTTTAAAGAAAATAATCTGCCCATCCAGTTCCTATCTGCACCAGCCTGGGACAGGCCCAGCAGGCATGGGGTAGCTTGGGGGTTCCTTCAGGCAGGCAGAACTGGGCAGGAAAGCAGAGTGTGTTCTTTGGAACAGGTGTGGGGAAAACTGTGAGAGGTGTGGGAAATCTCAGACTAAGCTAAAATGGTCCGGTGCTTGCTGGTCGAGGGGAGAACAGGGTTAGTTACAAGAAGGCCCAGACGGGACCAGTGGGGGCCTTGGGGCCTTGTTTGAGTAATATGGGGCTTCATCTGCCAGGACAAGGGTTGAAGGTTTCCTGAAAATGGCCAGATAGTAGACGTTTTCATCTTTGTGGGCCATTCAATCTCTATTGCAGCTACTTCCTTGCCCCCAGCAGCTGCCCATGAATGGTGGATGTGGCAGTGGGCCAGTGAAACTATTTATCAACACTGAAATGTGAAGTTAATGTTGTTTTTATAAGCCCCACAATATTATTCTTCTGATTATTTTCAGCCACTTACAAAAGCAAAATCCATTCTCAGCTGGCAGGGCTCATAGAGACAAGGCAGGCAGGATTTGGCTCGTGGTTGGAGTTGGCTGACCCCTGGCCAAGGGCCTGGGTTTCATAGGAAAATAGGATTTCAGTGTATAGAATCCTTTATTGTACAAGTTCAGAAATTATACAAAGGTAGCCTGTTACAAAGTCATAAAATATTGTGTGCTAAAACAGGGAAAATGGAGGGGTTGGGATTACTCCATATTAGGGACATAAAACCCACTGAGGCTGTTCTTTTTTTTTTTGTCTTTTTTGAGACAGGGTCTCCCTATGCAGTTCAGGCTGGACTTGAGCTCACTTTGTAGCCCAGGCTGGTCTCGAACTCACAGCAATTCTCTTGCCTCGGCCTCTAGAGTGCTGGGATTACAGGCGTGTGCCACCACACCCGGCGGCTGTTCTTGTAATATGCAAAAGCATGCTCACCTAAATTTGTTTCAGATAGTGATAAGCTCCTTCACTACACAATGCAGAGCATTCAGTCTTTCCGCCTGTTTCACAGAGGCAGGAAGGCAATTCCACAAGCTGGGGTCGTTAATCCTGAGTGACTGCATTACCCGGAGATTTATGCCCAGACCTTTCACTTCCAGATAGTGTGTTGCTGTCACTCCCCACATGTGGTATTTTGGGAGAACTGAGTCCTAAAATGTCACTTGCATGTCACTTGGAACATAGAACTTTTGCCTTTAGAGAAAGGAAAAAGTGATCAGTTATTCACAGATGACCTAGCAGAAGCATAGCTCTGTAGCTTTTGTGTGTTTCAAGGCTAGGGGCTGTGAGAAGTAGGAAGGAGCAGGTAAAAGAGAATTGTCTTTGCCCATGAGTGGCCTCAGAAAATTTCCAAGTGATTGGTGATGGCTGGCAACATAACCCTCTCAGCATGCTGCTCCCGTCTGTGGCTATCAGGGCCAGAAGGACTTCTTATTCTGGGGATCCCTGCCCTACAACATGCCCTGTAGTGTCCAGAGCTGTAAGGAAAGGGGCCGAGGAGGAAGGTTCCACCAAAACTTGCTCTTGCCTGGACTGTCATGCTCTTGTTCTTTGACCCCAACTTCCCCAAACCACATTGCTGGAAATTTCCAGCCCTGCAGCTGCTCCTGCCAGCTTTCCCTCATGGCCTTCGGGCACTTAGGTGGAGATGAGAGTGAGAATTCTAGGACCACAAAGTCGCTGAGAGCAGCTCTCCTGGGCCAGCCTTGGAGATACCAAGACATGCTTATTCCTGGAGTGTGTCATGCTGGGTCATCTTTAGCTGAAGGTTGACCTCCAAAAGTAATTAAGACCTGGAAACTTTATTAATGAAGTGATGCTGTTTAACTTAGATGGTCTTTCCAGGTATCTGCGTCTCAAACCGGATAGCTGTGACCAGGAGGGGGCTCGGAGGTACTGTTTGTAGTAGCTGCTGCTTTAATGTTTAGAACAGCTGGCGATGGTAGGAGCCTGTGATCTATAGCTGCTCTGGAGTCCCCACTCTAGAGAGCAGCCCCTTCCCACATAGTATAACCCTGCCTCGTCCTCTCTTTTAGCACAAGTGTCTTCATGTTGAGCGTTGTGTTTGTCTTGTTCCTGACTGCGTCAGCTTGCCCTTCCCCTGCAGCCTGGTCCAGCTCTGTGAGTGATGCTGAAGAAAGACTCCTTCCAAGGTTTGGCTAAGGCAGAGGGGGGAACTTTGCTGGCCACCCTAGGAGCAGGCCCTCTTCAGAGAGGAAGGCTGCAGGTCTGTGAAGGAGGAGAGGAAGCTGATCTCCCGCACCCTGCTCACTACTGCAGGGATCTCCTAGGCTCCAGGAGGGCCTTTTATCTTTCCAGGTTGGACTGGAGCACCCTGATGGGGCTTCAACATCGGCGATTAGGGCTGCAGGCCAAAGGCCAAAACTTTATGCTGGAGGACACAACCTTCTGGATCTTCGGGGGCTCCATACACTATTTCCGTGTGCCCAGGGACTATTGGAGGGACCGCTTGCTCAAGATGAAAGCCTGTGGCTTGAATACCCTCACCACGTGAGTGCCATGCTCATCCCTATTGCCAAGCCTGGTTACCAAGTAGGGGCTCTGGGTGTCTGCCGAAGGAAAAAGATAGGAGGACCCAGCCCAAGTCCTCTGCCTAGGTCTGCAGTGTAAGAGTCTCCCTCTCTTCTCATCCTCTCTTCTCACCGATGGGCATGAAAAGACCTAAAATTGATATAAGGTCCAGACCAGTGGTGGCAAACCTATGGCACAAGTGCAATAGAGGGCTGTTTGTTATTGAAAACTCTAAAAGGTTTGCCATCACTGCTCTAGAGCAACCAAAATAGCAATGTTTGCAAAAGAATACAGTGAGGGAAGTTAGTGTAGATGTGGGAGGTAATTCAGAAACTGTAAATATGTATTTGTTTATTTATTGTTGCAGTTTGAACAACAGAAATTTATTTTGTCACCCTACTTGGGGGAGGCTAGAAGTCCAAGCTGAAGGCGTCAATATGTTTTGTTTTTCCTAGGGCTTCTCTGTTTTTTCTGTCATTACATGGCCTTTCTTCTGTGGGTGCACACACTGCTGCTTTTTCCTGTTCCTAATAGACGAACTCCTCACCCAAGTTTCTATAGTGGATGAGTGTAATCTTCCTCGGGGCTGCTGGCTGAGCAGGTGCCTGTCAGCAGGCTCCAGTGTTCCTCTTGTGGGACCGTCCTTTGTGCAGGGGCAGTGACACACAGTGAAATGGTGAATATGCAAATCATTTAAAAAGTAGTCTTATTTATAATCTTGATCTTTTCTTGGATTTTTAAAAATCAAAATTACCAATAGATATTTGACTGTGCCTCTACAGATAAAATGGGTTAACGGGCTAGATTAATCAGTTTTCAGCAAAAATAGGTAATTCTAAAGCAAGCAGATGGATTTTCTGGGGGAGGTTTATGAGCGGTCTTTGAAGGTGATTCCTGAGGTATAAGAAAGTTCTAAGCAATGTTGGCATTGTTGAAAGAATGTGGGTAAATTCTCAGGATTCGTCAACTTACGGCAGCACTGCAGGCCTTGCATTCTGCTTTAGCAAAGCAGTACAGTCTGTGTTTGTGTCTGTGTGGAACCTTCAGTTTGAATTGGGAGCCAGAAAGCCTCCCTTCCCCTGTGAATATGCTTTGCATGGGCGAAGGCTCAGTGAGAGATCAGTGATGGGCTGCCAGGGAGCGGAGACCAGAGCCTTTCACTGTCACACCTAACTTCTTCCCTCTTTCTCTTGGGTTGGCGTCTTTTACCAGCTTACTGTGGATCCTTATCTTCTCTTTGGAGTCCCTTTTGCTCCAAGTTTTGGAAATCTGGATGCTCTGATAAAAATAGTATTGAAAATGAGGTTCTTCCTACCCTACTTCTGTTGTTCTGTTATTTCTTTCTCTGATGAGGGATGAGGTGGCTACTTGATCTGTGGTCATCAAGTGTGATCTTTTATGCCATGGCTAGTGCTTTGCACAAATCTAGTTGACCTTCCCTCTCTCTGAGGGGATGAGATGCTCTTCTTCTGGGGCTTGCACTGGATTCTCAATGATTGCCAGATCTGTTCAGTTTGTTCTTGGTGTAGTCTTGAAGCCATTAAAAAGCACATCTGCAGCCATATATTGTGTTTTGGAGTTTAAAAACAAAGATGATCTAGAAGTAAAGTGGAATGGATGACAAGCTCTTGCCTCTGATTTTTTTACTGCAGCTATGTCCCATGGAACCTCCATGAGCCAGAAAGAGGCAAATTCGACTTCTCTGGGAACCTGGACCTGGAGTATGTTGTGTTGCTGCTCTGTGACCTGGCCCAGGGACAGTGGCAGAGAGGCAGCTGCTGGGGTGGATTTGGGATCCTTGGGATGTCCATATCTGCCTTGATGATGGGGGTACTGGGGTGGGCATGGTTCTCAGGGCACTGTGGGAGGCTCTATGGCCAGGGTTCAGATACACCCTAGCAGGGGTCTCTCACCCTGGGCCAGGCCTGCAGCCTCGGGTCCCCCTTCCCTCTGCAGTGGGATTCAGTCACCTGGGGCAGAGCACAGGCTGCTCTCTGGGCTAGCAAGGCTGCTGTTAGGGTCTGATTCACTGCTATGGCACCCTGTACCCTGTCTGAAGCCCTACTCCACCAGAGGTGCTGTGTGGATGGGCCTGATGCTGGGAGTCAGTGCAAACCCAGGGTATGAGGACTCCCTGCTCTGCTGAGGTGGGATTGACCTTCCTTCACCCCAGTGTCCCTCATTGTAAGAGGGAGGGGCAATGGGCAGCTGATCCTGTCAGGTGCACAGGCTCCCTCCCCATGCAGCCTCCCTGTGGACCATCACGAGATGGCTGACTTTGTTTCCCTCCCAGGGCTTTTGTCCGGCTGGCTGCTGAGATTGGGCTGTGGGTGATTCTGCGCCCAGGCCCATACATCTGTGCTGAGATCGACCTCGGGGGCCTGCCCAGGTGAGCTGGGATGTTAGAGGTTGCAGGGTGGCTGGACGTATCTAGATTCTAGAGCAAATACTCACAGATTTCAATTTAGATTTTTAAGGTACAGTTTCCATCTTTGTGCTCAATTTCCTTTTCAGAGTAAGTGGCACACACAAGGAGCCCTTTTGAACAGTGTACTTACTGCCCTTGTAGAACCTTGGTGCATCAATGCATGTGGCAAGCAGCAGGGAACAGCAGGGAGGTGGCCATTTTGAGGCATTTGATGCTTCTGGGCCAACTGTGGAGTTGGGACCCCAGGCAGGTCATTTCTCCCCCTGCTCTGGACCTTCCTCTCCCTGAGTACAAAATAGGAAAAAATCAGACCTGCCTTGTCTATTTCTTAGAGATATTACCAACCATTTTTTTCATGCCCCGGCATTTTGATAAAGTATAACAGAAGCTACTGTTGTTTCATCTTGAAATCTCATGATGTCCAGTCTGCCTAAGTGTACGCACTGTGCTGAGTCAGTATTCTATGGCTGGAGGAGAGGTCTGGACAGGAATCAGCTGGGACCATATTCACTCCTCATGCTCATCTGTGTGGCTATTATTTTCCAGTGAGAAGATATTCTTGTTATAGATGTAAGTTTTCCCAGCCTCACCCTGTACTTAGACTTTGAGGGGAAAAGGCTGAGCCTTCCAGGGCACTGTCTCCCCACAGCGTGAGCAGTACCCCTGGCTTGTTTTCACTCTTGTTTCCAGTGTAACCCACCCTGCCCTCCGGGGCTCAGCCTCTGCCTCCATCTCTGCATTATCCAGGATCACTTCTCTGAGCTGTCACCATGCCCTGGGGAAGGCTGTGAACGCAGCCAGAGCTGTGCCCTCACTCCCTGCGGATTAGAGATCTGGGTGCCATGGTCAGCAATTTCCTTGGGCTCAGCCAGAGCCGGGCTTGGAGGACAACAGGGTTTAGCAGTATTAACCAAGAAGCAGGGGGAGCTCTGGCCTCAGATCCCTACCGTGTGTGACACCTGCCTGTTCACGAATGGGTCTTTGAGCCTCCTATGTGAGTGAGGAACCAGGCCTGTTTGGGGGAACACTGAATGTGGGGTCAGGCTTGGAGACCCCACCTCCTCTTCATGGTTTGTCAACACTGATCATTGCTTTTCCGGCTCTACTGAGGCAAGAGAAGCCTCAGAGCCATGTGTTAGAGAGTATGCTTCCTCAGGATTGCCCCTGAGAAGGAAGTGCTCTGACTCCAGCTTTGGAGCGAGGCTTGGTGCTGTGCTCCCCCAGGGGTTTGTGCTCACTGCAGGTGGACTGGGAAGCATATATGGTGCTTTTCTGCTGAGGGCTGAGCTCTGCAGGGCCATGTGGCTCCTGCGAATGTGTCCGTCCCTCACTGTGGTCAGCTGCTCACTGTCTGAGTGACCCGGAAGGTGGGCTCTGTGTCCTCCCGGCCCAGTGACTCCTAACCTGGTTTTACCCTTTTGCTGGGGCACTGTAGCATAAACGCTGAAAATGGGCCCTGAGTCCTTGTGTATGGCCTCCTAACTTGTGGCTAAATGGTGGTGGTGGGGTGGATACACCTCCTTGCCTGCTTTTCAGGCTTACTCCTGAGCACTCTGAAGTTGCTTCCTTCTCCTGCACCACCAGCATGCTGAGGCAAAGCCCCAGAGCCCAATGCCAGTGCCCCTTCCTTTCCCTTTTGTTTCCAAGTTGGCTGCTCCAAGACCCTGGCATGAAGCTGAGAACAACTTACCAGGGCTTCACTGAGGCTGTGGACCTTTATTTTGATCACCTGATGTCCCGTGTGGTGCCACTGCAGGTAAGAGCCCATGCACTCTTTGGTGTTTACCTGTCCTTCTTTGGGTGTTGGGCATCTTAGATGAGTTCCCAGGTCCCAGGACCTACAGTTCTTCCCAGCACAATGATACACTTCCCCAGTGTCTCAGCGAGTCCTAAAAGGACAGAGAGGTGTGAGGACTCACATTTCTTCATGTGGTGCCAGAGCCATGACTGATGAGTGGAGGAGGTGACTGATAACTGAAAACACTCATCTGTCAGTGTCCTAATGGCACCATGGCTCAGATCTACATGTGTGGCCAGGCCCTGGTCTGTGAGGCTTTTTGTGGTTATGGAATGCCAGCTGATGACTTTTCAGGGTACTTACCTCTGCTACCGGAAAGGTACTGCATGGTACCCGTTTACTATTCAAAACAAACATGTTAAAATGACTCTTTTGGGGGAAAGTATCTTAATATTTTATGTGATAATTGGAAGCAATAAAAAACAAGAGTGGGAATAATTAACCTAGTTGCTTATGTAAAACCATGAAAAGTAACACTGAGAAATTAATACATCAATAAAAAATTAGTACATCAATAAAAATTGCTCTTGAGTGAATAGTTTAGAATGTTCACAGCACACATAAAGAGAACTGCCAGTTAAAACAAAGTTTTTCAGATAAATTTGAATTTCACATAAGCCAGGAATAATTTTTAAAGTATAAATACACCCAAGATATTGCATAAACCATATTTATATTTTTAAAAAGTATACACTGTGTGTAGAAAAGTCATTGTAAATTCAAATATAACTGAGTGGCCTATAGTTTTATTTACTAGATGTGGCAGCCCTATTAGTGAAAGAATCCAGAAGCTTGGAAGTTATTAGCCTAGATTTGCAGGGAAGATGGTGTTGCTGTGACGATTCCACAGGTGGAGCTGTAAATTAGGGTGGAGGCGGGGTGGGCGCAGGATGAAGATAATTCTGAGAACATAGCTCAGAGGCACTCTTGGGCCTGGAAATGGAACACTCAGCTTTTTTTTCTGGGTATAATTATTTTATTTTTGCTATGAAAATACACATAACACAAAATTTACCACTTTTAGTATATAAGTGTATCATTCAGTGGCATCCCCCCTTGTTGGTGAGGATATACCTCCAGACCCCCAGAGGATACCAGAACCACACTAGGACCAAATCCTATATACACCAGATTTTTTCCTACAGTATATGCTGACTGTAAAGTTTAAATTTTAATTCAGGCATGGCAAGAGTTTAATAGCAGTAACTGATCATCAGCTAGAACAGTTTTAAGAATATAACTGTGATAAGATAGCCAGAATTAGTCATGTACTTTGGGGCCATTCTGAAGTAAAACCATGCCAGGACAGTAGGTCTGATCACAGATGTCTACTGAGTGACTAATAGGCAGGTGGCTCCCACAGCCTAGGTGAATGCCTTCCACCCCAGGAGAGGGGCCTGGGAACTCAGGGCAGCTTCTTCCAGCCACATTGTGCTCCACTGAGGAGGGGAGGGCAAGCATGACTAGAAGCATTGCGGAAGTCCCACTCTTGCACTCTTGGCTGTTTCTTGATTGTGTTGTCACTTGTTTGTTTAGATCTTTGACAGGTTTTAGAGGTTGTATGATGTTATGTAGTCCGTTTATAGTTGTTTATCTGATGTTTCCATAAGAGAACAGAGCCTAGTTCTTCCTGTCTCTCTCTCTTAAGGACAATGCTCTTAAGTACATACGAGGCCTTTAGAGCCTTCTGTTTTCAAGTGGGGGATGTTGCTAGCAATTGGATGGATTTGGATGACACGGTTCCCATGAATTCAGCTTCTGAATGTTTATCTCTTCTCCCTAGTACAAGCACGGGGGGCCCATTATTGCTGTGCAGGTGGAGAATGAATATGGTTCCTACAACAGAGACCCTGCTTACATGCCTTACATCAAGAAGGTGAGAGTCTGCCTGGTTGGTGTCTTCATATATATTACATGAAGGGTAATGATCTATGGGTCTAATATTTTTCTCATGTTGATTGCTATGTCTCCCAGCAGTATTTGTTAATGGCAATTTCCTACACTGATTTAGTTCTGCAGGGTTTCAGTGGGGTCATCAGTATGTACATGGTGATCCAGAGGCTGAGTGTTAATATTTAGAGAAATCTTCCTGAGCTGTTGCCATGATTCCAGCCCTGAGCTAAAGCCATGATTCACTTTATCTGGAGAGTTAAAAAAGTCCTAATGCCTTGGCCACATACCATGCTATGCGATTATATGAGTCTGAGGTGGCCCCCAGTGTGTGAGAGAGGGTGAGAATGGTGGCTTTGATGCATAGCAGGTCAGGAGAATGCAGGGCTGTAGTGACTCTTAGTAGAACAGGCTAATATTCAGGTCTGGTATCTGTCACTTAGTAGCTGAGATCTTGAACAAATGCCTTATTTTTTCTAAGTCTTTTTTTCTTCTACAAAGTAGGATTAGAAAGAACATCTGCCCCTCCAGATTGTACTGTGTGAGGTCAGGCAGATGAGCACAGTTCTAGGTTTACAGTAAGTTGTCAATAAGTGACTTTGCTAGATCACTGGCATTCATCATGGAGCCCTTGGAGGGTCAGCCAGGTGGGGCTGTGAGTGAGGAAACATTAACCGTCCTCTGGATGAATCCATCTCGTTGGAAGCAGATCAGCTTCAGCTCTGACCCTTGATGGCGCAGGTAGCACCTTTTTGGCTTTCTCCCACAGATTCATTTTCCATCTGGAGATTACCTCCCTTCCTATAGACTGTAGACTCTCCTACACCCTCACTGTCCCCCAACTTCTCATCTGCAGAAAGCTTCTTGGAAGGGCATACACTGTATTCTGGACAGGGCCCCCGCATTCCCCATGCTAGTTCAGTCCTGAAGTCAGACCCAGGCACAGCCTGGAAGAGAGCATACACCCAGCTTCCTCCTTGTCCTTGAATTACCTAAAGTGATACCAGTCCAGATTCAGGCTTCCAGATCAGCCACACCTTTTTTCTTCAGACTCTCTCTGGGGTTTCTCTAGCCGCTGTTGGTGCAGTGACTCACCTGCAGAGAGGGGGAGTTGTGCAGCAGGTGGGAGAGGAGAGTGGAGCTCCTTGGGGACCTCATCTTCTGCATCAGGGCACAGTGCCCAGGCACTATTATCCTGAAGCTGCAGGGAGGATGCTCCTGAATGCCATGTGGCCCTCCTGGGGGTGTTGCCCAGATGTGGACACCACCAGCAGTGCATGGCCTTGGGCAGGTCCCTTTACCTCTTACTGAGCCTTAGTTTATCATGTGCACAATGGAGATGATTACCTCTTGTAGGATGAGTCAGTAAATGAATGCCTGTGAGCTGTAAGTGTGTATGTGTTGTAGGAAGCTAAGTAGATTTCACGTGTCAGAGAATGACTCATTGAATAGCTGAAGTGGGTTAGTCTGGGGCTTTTGATAAAGGTCTCGGCCAGCCTCATGGTAAATACTCTCCTGCTCTGTCATTCCTGACAATTAAACCCCCTTTGCCCTTTCCTTAATAGTACATGGAAGTTAACGTAAGTGTTACTCTCCAGCTGGAGGATATCTTTGCCTCCTCTAGTTCCAGAAGTACTCAGTTGAAATAAGTAGTCGTGTCATAAGATCTGCAGGGAAAATTAGAGGAAAATCACCTTTGCAGGGGTTTCTGACCTCAGTGTGCCCAAAGCCTCAGAGCTGACCCTTTGCTGTGGACAGATTCTGGGATCAGCCCAAGCTCTCGTTATCTCTGTGACCCATCATCTTTTCCTCATCTCTACTGTTGATAGATTAATTGTGAAGACTGAATGGACAGTGTACAAAGTGCTTAGCAGAATGCCTGCAATTTAGTAAATACTACTCTATAAATGCTAACAACCTATCTGAGTGGTAGAAATCCTTTTGGCCTCTCATTGCTCACTTAGTCCTCAGACTGACAACCCTCAGGAATGCTTCTCCCTGAACTGGGCATGGGCAGTGCATGTGGCATGCCACTGAGGCATGGCTGGGTCAGTGTTGCCTTTGCTGTAAACTAATGCCACACTGGACTCAGTGTTGGGAAAGACCAGCTGTCTGCTCATAGTGTGGGCAAATGGGAAGATGTGGGTGCTATTCTGGAAGCCTGATCATCTCACTGGAGCCCAGCAGGCAGTTGCCAGGTGACACCATGGCAGCTAGCCTATGAAGCCAGCCTCTATGTAGGCTGTTGGGGAACAGCAAATTGGCCAGACCTCCAGAAGCAAGCAAGAGCTGCAGATTCCAGCAGCCCTGTTCCTTGCCACAGCTGGAAGTCAGGTTTATTTGCTGAATATGGCAGGTATAGAGAAGGTGGGCTTGCTGCAGAAAATGCTTTAATTAGATCTTTCCCCTTGCTCTCTAGGCTGCCTTGTCCCTAGCAGTACAACACACAGGAGCTTTACAGAATGAACACTGCCTGACTTGTCTTTTATCCCCTGTAGGCCTTGGAGGACCGTGGAATCATAGAACTACTTTTGACCTCAGACAACAAGGATGGCCTGCAGAAGGGAGTGGTCCATGGAGGTACTGGCCAGAGGCTGTGTGGGTAGCGTTGCTGTGCAGGGTCCCCCAGGTGGCACTGAGACAGGCTGGAAGTTTTCTCTTCTCATTCTTCCATGGCACTGGGTTGAGAGCTGTGGGCTGAAGCGGTGAAGGATCCGTGTCAGAGGTGCTGAGCCATGGCCAGCTCTGCGAGCGTCTCCCATCCCTGCTGGGCACTAGGGCGCTAACAGCTCTGTACATGCCACCCCACTCACAGGCCTCCTCTGTCAGAAAGTTGCAGCTCCCTTTCCCCTCAGCTACACAGGCCCCACACCTTGTCATCATTCCTCAGTTGCTCTCCTGGCTGCCTCACCCACAAGCCGTGGCCTGGCCTTTTTATCTCTAGCCTTTGTCTTCAGAACCCATGTGGAGTTTACCTGTGTTTTGCTGCTTGACTGTTACCATCGTCTCTCGCTTGCATTTTTGGGTAGCGTTTGACCTCCTTTCTCATCACTAAGGCCCCCAGCTCTTTCTGCACATAACAGTGGTGCATGCCTTTTAAGTGTGTTCATTGGTCAGGAGCCCCATAGGGAAGTGAGGTCCAGAGAATGACTTGGAGGGCTTCCCAGCACAACCTTGGAGCTGGCCGAGCTCACTCCCAGTGCCTCCCCTTGCACACTCCCTTCCACCCTGCTGGCCTTCTTGCCATTGTTCACAGTGGGCCCTGCTCCTTGGCGGCTTTGCGCATCCTTGAGAGCCACTGTGGCTCTTCCCCATGGTCACCTCCAACTGTGCTGCCTCTGCTGTAGCACCTGCTTTGTGTTGGTAGACCGGCTTTTAACCCTGGGTCCCCCAGCAACACCTGGCATGGAGAAGGCTCTTGTCCCCCACGGAGTGAACTGAAGGCCAAGGCAGACCCTGGCTGCTGGGTGTGGTGATGCCCAGCCATGCTTCCTGCTGCTTCCACATGGTGGCACTGTCTCCTCATACCTGTTCCCACAGTCTCTGGGCATGAGTGATGCAGTCTGGTGTGGGCCGGGCCGACTATGTGTGGGAGACCTTTAGATGATGGTGAACAGTTTTAGCTCTTTGCAGTCCACTGGTTAAAGACCTATGAGGATGCCTGGCCCTGTTCTCTCCATGCCCCTGTCCTCCCCTGCAGTGTCTACCCCTCAAGTCCCTGCCACCAGCTGCTGCCTAGAATGGTACTTTTTAATTTCAGAAATTAATCACATGGTCTACAAGTAAAATAATGCAGGTCCTCATGGAGAAACGCAGCACTTCCTGCCTCCTCCTCCTGTTCCCTGGAAATGACCATCCTGAACTCTTTACCTTTTTCTTCCACTTCTTTCCTTCATGTGTCTGAACAACATGCACACAGAAGTCTGTGTTTACTGAGCTAATGTTCTGCCTCTGGCTTCCTGTTCAGGAGATGATATTTTCTTAGCGCCCCTCCCTCTCGGAGAGCTCAGCATCTAGGCATGCGTATGGATGTGCAGAGGCCCTTCTGTGGTTTCCCTTAGTGTATCTGAATCCTCCAGTTGCAAATCAACTTGCTTTCCAGTGTACTTAGTTCTCACTTCCGATGTAGTAATTATCCTATTTGGTTTAGCTTTCATTTCAATTTTTCTTTTTCTTCCTCTACTACCATGTCCATCCTTTGGTCTTCTTTTAACAAACGCTTTACCTAAAACCTTGGCTGGTGTTTATCAGTGCCTGTGCATACCAGGTTCCATGGTGAGGCCTGGCAGGCTGCCAGGAGCCCTCCCTCCCGTGTATATGTGTACATGCGTGTGTGCGCGCACACGCATGTGTGTGATCTGCTACAGGTATGCTGCACTGCTTTATCCCAAAGTGGCACTGTGTCTCCTATATTAGGCCTTGCTTCCTGGGGTTTTGAAGACATCATTCCATCATTTTCTGGCATGTACTGGTGCTACTAAAGTCCAATGACATTCAGGCTCCTGATCCCTTTGCATGTTCCATATCCTCCCTCTTCTCATTTCTTAAAGATTTGTAACTCTCTTTTTACCAATGATATTCTGGTGTTTCACAATGATACCTTCTACTGTGAGGTGTTTTTACTTTCATGGCACTTCTGTGAGTCATTGGCACTGGCACAGCTTTGTCCACCAGTGGTGAGACGTTTGTTCAGTCATTGCCTTTCTTCGGCAGTGCTTCACCATCTTACTGGGTGGTCTTATCATCATTCCTGCTTTCTGTATATGGATTCTCTGCTTTCCCTGTTTTCTTACTGTCTGTTCCGCCCAGGCTTTCAGATGAGGATGTTCTCAGGTGCTTGGCTCTTGCTGCTTTAAAAAGAGGCACTAAATGTCCCCTTGGTGCCCTGGGGTTGGGGGAGATAGAGGACAAGACTCTTGCCTTGTGGGGTGATAAGCCATGGGGCTGGTCAAGGAGGGACACTTTTACGTCACTGCTTGGAGACACTGTCTGAGTGCCATTGGGTGTCTCCATAGAAAACGCCTTTGGTTTTTGCTGCAGATCTTTTGGGACTAACTATGAGGAACGAGCAGGAAGCCCCTGCTGTATTCCCTACTTACATCCTTCCTCCTGTCACGCACCTGCACACCCTTGGGGGTTTTTAAGAGCAAAGGACCCTGCCAAGAGATGGGCACAGGTGAGGAAGGAGGCTTGAGGACAGGAATGTGAAGCCAGGCACACGTGTCCTTCCTGCATGGGCTCGGGGCTGGGAGTGGGTGAAGCCTTGGGCTGGAGGTGGGAGCAAGTGGAAACTTCTATCATTCTCTAAGGCCGTCATTGTCCTAAGACTCCCTCAGCACTTCCCTCTGCTAATACCTCTTCGGTATTCTTATTCTGTGGGGCTGTCCTGTCTGTCTGTCCACCTTCCACCTTATGTGGTGAGGAGTCAGGAAGGAAAGGCCACTGTTGCTTGTGTTCAGTCATCTCTGTGTCCTGTTCACTTGGAGACCTCTGCCGATCAGTTTCAGATAGGCCTGCTGAGTGGAGTTTGCTGCTTTAGGCCAGGAGGGGTCTGGACAGTATCATCGGTGTCAGAAGGGCTTGGGTTTGCAGCCCTATTCTGCGGCCCACCAATTTTGTGATTATGGGGCAAATTGTTGTGCCTTCCCAGGTCTTAACTATACTTGCTTTTCTTCCCTAGTCATCTGTGGCCGGTCTTCAGGGTTCCTGGGCTCACTGGCTGCCTCAGTCTCTGTCGCTATTTCTGGGCGTACCTGAGCCCAGGCCAAGGCCTGTGCATGTGAGGTCACTGTGAAGGTGAACAGCAAGCAGGCACAGACCCTCAGAGCCAAGTGTTGCCCCTGGCTTAGCCAAGGGAAGCATGGCCAGCCACCAGCCAGAGTGGATTTTTCTTGAGCATATATTTAAACTTTAAAGTGAACTCATTATGGTGTAGAGTAGAAAATGACTCCTCATGAAGAAATAAAGCAGGAGGCTTCATTCAGGTCAGTATCTTCTTCTACTCCATGCTTGGTGTACGAAGCTCAGACTCTGGTTGCTACAGAAGCACAGTTATCCTAGTGTATACTGTGGCTATAAAACTAGTTACTCAAAGACAGATGCTTCTTGAGTGATGATTATGCCAGCCCTGTGCTGGGTGGTGGAATTTCCAAGATCAGTAAAGTAAGTCTGATGCTGTCAGACCAGTTTGTGGTCTAAGAAGGGATTGGGGTATTCAGAAAGTCTTCCTGACTTTACCACCACATTTTGTTTCTCCTTTCTCCTTTCTCTTCAGTGCTGGCCACCATCAACCTGCAGTCCCAACAGGAGCTACAGTCACTGACCACCTCTCTCTTAAGTATCCAGGTAAGTCTGGCCCAGCAGAAGTGGTGGGCCTGTCCCGCACAGATGTTGGGATTCTGAGTGCCCCCGAGGGAGACCAACTGAGCTACCCTGCCTTTCACTTAGTCCACTTGCCATACACCTTTGAAGGAAGCAGTGTAGAGGCTTCTCTGTGGTTTTACAGTGTAGGCTGACATGGTGTGAATAAGATCTGGCTTTCGAGGGCTCCACAGGCCCCAATCGTGCTCTAAAGGATTAAGGAAGAAGAGAACCTTCTTTGTGTCCTATCCTATGTGAGCTACTGGTCTTAACCAGGAAGGTTCCTATGGTCCGAGAAAGATGGTTGTCAAGACAGGAGGCCAGCCTACCCAGGTCAGGAGGAGAAAGAGAAGAGCTACTGGGTGTGTGAGCATCATTAGATCACTGGTCATGTGCAGCTCAGTCCTGTTCTGATTGCACTCTCCTGAACTCACAGTCTCTCCTAAGGAGATAGATATGACCAGGGCCAAGGCACGGCCTGACACCAGAATTGAAAGCCTCGTCTCTCACCCTGGCTTGCTGAAGGGTGCGAGGAATCCCCACATCTGTTACATGTCCTCATTGATCCCAGACCTAGAGCAGCGCAGTTGGAGTGTCATATTGACTGTAGCGATGACTGGGTTCATTTCTACTCTAGCTGACAGCCTTCAGAGCAGGGGTTCTGTCCTCAGGCCCACCCATGAAGTCACCATGGCCACTGAAGGCTTGTAGGGTGAGGGCCATGTGTCGAGGCAGACTTCTGCTAAGAAAGATAATGGATAGGATGGGACCAGGTTGAGTCCATTTGCTGAGTGGCTGAGCTGTGCTTAATGTGCTGTTTGATAAATCACAGGATCTCTGTGCTCACAGAATTTGTGTCCCACTTGGGAAGAGAGAAACATGATATATGAAATAATAACTAGGTAAGATTGTACCTGAGTGCTGCCAGAGGGAAATGTAGAATGCTGTGAGCTACCCCTGCAATGACCAGACCACTCTAGTGTGCAACCTAGGACAAGTCATTGAACCTCTCTGTGCATCTTTCCCCTTCAGTTAACTGGGGATAAGGATACTCCCAAATCATAGGGGTGCCAGAGTTAGGGTCAGTGGCCCATAAGTGTGCACCAAACCCTGGACCAGATGTCATTGCTCTGTAGGCAGCTGCCCTCACTGGCAGAGAGGACATTTGATCATTGCTGAATGAGTGAGGAAGACACTGGTGCAGATCCTGAAATGCTATCAGATCAGTCCTTACACTTCCCCCAGGTCCTCTAGGCCTTCTACAAACATGGCAGAGCCAAGCCTGGCTCTGACAGTGAGCTTTACCTGCTTGTGGTGATCATGCATCAAGGTCAGCATTCTGAAATAATATTTAAGACTTTTGAAATATGCATTCAGACTGTGGCTGCCCCATCTGTACTATAAATGGCTGAACTGGCAGGCCCTGATTTTAGGGTCTAGTTTTGCAAGCTGCTATTTAAACTAAGCTAGACCTTGAAGACAGTGCACTCTGTAGCTCCCTGACTCTTCTGGGTAAAGGGAAGCAGCAACTCTGAGGGGTGTGCATTCATGGTGGGCCTCACACATACAGAGTCAGGCTGGATAGAACATTTCCCTTCCCTGGAAGAGGATGGGTAAAGCTCGCCTCAATCCAGAAAACAACTCAGCATAGGGAAGTGCATCCCAAGCAGATGTTGAATTCTAATGAGGTCCGCTAAGGAAGATGTGAAGATCTGAGCCACTACCAATGTCTTCTTGCTGGCATCCACTGTATGTGTCATTAAAACCACAAGGAGCCATCAGAATCTACTGCCTTGACTTGGTTAGCCTCTTCCCTTCTACACCTTTGAGTGTGCAGGCCATATGTGGTAGACAAGCCATTTTCCTCTGGGCTCTCCTTCCACGGTCTCTCAGGCAAGGGTTGTGTGGTCAGAGAAGAGGCAGGAGGCAGAGGTATTGGGGTTCCTTCCAGGAAGGGCATCCTTCTTTCCCTTTTGGGTGGTCTGCATGTCTAACTCATTTTGTGGTACCCAGGGGAATCAGCCCAAGATGGTGATGGAGTACTGGACAGGGTGGTTTGATTCATGGGGAAGCCCACACAATATCTTGGATTCTTCTGGTGAGTGCCATGCTTTGCCAACATCCAGTATGTGTGTTGATGACAGAAGTAAGAAGGTACTTCCTGTTCTCTGCTGGTTGATGTATGCAACTGTAGGATGCAGGGCTCCTGAGATCATTTGTATATAATAGTAAGCTTTTGATAGTTCAGAATTATTTGTCTTTACATTTAAAGCAAAAGCTAGGTCTTTTTTTAATTTTTAATTTTAAAGACAATAGTATGAAAAATGAACAATAGCAAAATGCAAACAAAACAAAGCAAGGACATTAAAAATGATCCGGGTTTGAAACCAAATGGTAGGGATTAACAGTAGTTGTTATATTTCATATTGTTATGTTCAACGAAGTTGCTCAGATTACCAGATGTAAGAACATAAGATTGATCAAATCATTAAAGGGAATAAGAAAATAATAATTTAAAAGAGCATTAGAGACAATACATAGTGTCACTAGACGGGATTGTAGGAATTCACCAATGGTTGTTGTACTGCAAATTGTTTTTGTCACATAAGTTGCTCAGATTACCAGATACAAGCATGCAAAATTGGTCAAAATATAAAGAAACCAAAACTTTTAATCATTAACTGTTCCCCTCAACAAACCATCAGACACCAGCAGTACAGTTATGCCACTGATCCATATATATATATATATATATATATATATATATATATATATGATTCCTTAGTACTTTCTTTTTCTTCTTTCCCCCATCCCAGTTGTTCCTTCCTTTGAGCCATTTCTTTCCCTTTCTTATTATCTATTGTACATCTTGGGTTTTATCTACTCTTTCATGTTCTTACACCAGGGAGACAATGTGATGTTTAAATATGTGGGTCCGATTTATTTCACTTATGAGCATGGTCTCTAGTTGCATCCATTTACCTGTAAAAGCCTTGAGTTTATCTTTTTTATAGCTGAGTGATACTCCATTGTATAGAAATACCACATCTTTTTTATCCATTCCTCAGTTGATGAGCATTTGGAAAAGGTAGGTATTTTAATGTTGCTTTTGCATGTTTTTGTGATTAGAAAAGTAATGCTTGTATACTGAAAACATCCAGAAAATACAGAAAGATGTAAATAAGAAATAAAAGTACCAGGGCTCAAGGAATGATATATGCATTGTAGACAGTTCTTAGTGCATCTCCACCTGCAGCTCTGTATGCATGTCAAATAGAGACAAGGAGGTTAGGCCCTGCTGACCTGGTTACCTGCTTAACCCCGTTAAAGACTCAGAGAGAAGTTTTCTGTACTACTCGGTATAGATTTACATTACCATCTTAACTAAAGCAAAAAACACTGTGTTGATGAATAAACCATCACTTACGAACCTAATATTTTACTGGTGGATTCTCAGGGGGTTTCCCATGACTTTGGTGGATTCAGCACCATTTCAGGGAGCACCTTTGTTTTTTTTGTTTTTTTTTTTTTTTTTTTTGTTTTTCTCCGGTACCGGGAACCGAACTCACGACCTTGCGCTTGCCAGGCAGGCGCTTTGCCTCTGAGCTAAATCCCCAGCCCCTCAGGGAGCACCTTTGGACTCCAGTCTTGTGTACCTGACTTACCAGTTCCCTTTGATTACAGAATTTCTACAGTAGTGGAATTTCAATGTATGTACTTCCCAAACTGCCCTCCAGAAGGATTGTAGCAACTTTCACTTACCATTACTAGAGGATTTCCTACAGATTCATCCACACTCAGTATTCAAATAATGTTTAGTATTTACCAGTCTTACAGGTCAATGTCTAGTTTCATTTCTTTAGTTGAGGTTAACAATATATATCTATTAAGCATTTGTTTCTCTCTCTTGATATTGTCTTTTCACCCTGTCAGTTCATTTCCAAGTGAAGGCGGGATTGAAGGAGGGGGTCAGAACTGTGTCTCTAGTGATGGACGAGTTCTGGCTTTGTGCCCTCTATGAGCGTGACTGCTGGGGGTATGAGCAGGCAGGGACTGGCTGGCCCATGCTGCATGGTGTGCACACGGTAATTGATAGACTCAACAGGTCTTAGAACATGGGGGCCAAGCTCCAGCTGGGACTGGTAGCCACTTCCTCTCCCTCTCCCCTGATCTTCTGTCCAGAGTGTCAGTAAAGCCACAGGACGGAGCAGGAAGGTGACCTTGCAGAGGGGTTGGAACTCTAAGTTCTGAGGTGCTTAGGGCTTGTCTCAGACTCTGACTCTGCGTGCTCATCCTTCTCCCCTCTCCTGTAGAGGTTCTGGAAACAGTGTCTGCCATCACCAATGCCGGCGCCTCCATCAACCTCTACATGTTCCATGGAGGCACCAATTTTGGCTTCATAAATGGAGCCATGCATTTCAATGAGTATAAGTCTGATGTCACCAGCTATGGCAAGTATGATTCCCTGGTACTGGTCCTCTCTTGTCCTCTCCTGCCTTTGCACGCCTGGGATTTTTTTGGAGAGTCTTTAGGGACAACAGGCACCTTTGATGTATTTGGCTGTAAACTGCTTGGGGAAGGGAGAGGCTGTGTCTGAGCTGTCCCTTTTAACCTTGGAGAGCAGCAGGAGACTCGGGGCATGCCATGCCATGCCTGTAAGCTGGCTATTCTGCTACAGAAGCCCCTTGGAGACTGGGATCCAGAGGAAAGGAGGGGAGGCCCAGGGTGACAGGGATGAGAGCAGCGCCTCTGCCTCCTACTTGGACCTCTGAGAGGGTGTGGTCTCTGGCCCCTTGGAGTGGGAGTCCCCAGAGGGTAGAAAAAGATGCCTCGTTTACTGCCTGCAGCTAGAAATCTAGGCTGATGCTGCGATCGTGGGCAGTTTTGCAAGATTTCTTACGTTAGTATTTATAGCAACTGAATGGCTCATACTAAAGGTGATTTACCTTCCCAACTGCTGGGCTGAGAACTGCCAGTTGCCTACCCCAGCACCTCCTGTCTCCTGTGCCACAGATGGCTCTTGGGACAGGGATGACCATGGGAGTTGCACGGGTGTCTTGCAGACTATGATGCAGTGCTCACGGAGGCTGGTGATTACACAGCCAAGTATGGCAAGCTTCGAGACTTCTTTGGCTCCCTCTCAGGTACCACCAGGCAGCTGACACACACACCACTCAGGTTCCTGCTTCTGCTCTGAGCCCGTGGAGTTACCTTCCCACCCTCCCCTGCCACCCCAGCCATGGACTGGGGAGACAGTTTTGTAATAGTGTGCATAGACCCCACCCTTCCCTAGGCTTTGCCTCCCAGAGAGGTTTAGGCAATGATGAGAACTGGCCAGGATCCAGGACGACACCGGGCCTGTGGCTAGGAGGCCAGAGGAGGCAGCAATGGCCTGGATCCTTCAGGAATGGATGTGTGGTCTGTCTGTCTGTCACAGGTACCCCTCTCTCTCCCCCACCTGACCTTCTCCCCAAGATGGCCTATGAGCCAATGGAACCATTTCTCTACCTGTCGTTGTGGGATGCCCTCAAGTACATGGGGAAGGTGAGTGTGTGGGTCAGGGAGCAGGAGCAGCCCTGGGTGGGCAGGCAGGGCCCAGGAGCTCTTCAGGAGGGGTGCTTGGAAGACCAGAGGCAGCTCTGGATACTTTGAGGCTTGTTCTCAATTCAGAACTGAGTGAAGACATCAGGCTGCTCGGCACCACGTGGGAAGGAACAAAAGACGGTGAAAGCAGGAGCTTTCATTCCCCCAGCCATCTCTGTCTAGGACAGGGGACGGAGGCTGGCAAGGAAGGGGCTGATCCTTGCTCTGTGAAGAGGGCACCTCCTGGAGCCCACTCCAGGCAGCAGTGATGAACAGTTGAAGGTGGTTAGGAGTTAAGGTCCAGTAGACTGCAGGGCTCCATTATGTCATGATGTCTCTCTCCTCCTGTCCCTGTGCCCTGTGACTTGGGCCCCAGAGCTCATGTGATGAGAAGTCAGAATAGAAGAAAGAGGTTAGCACCCGCCGCCTCTGTGCCCTCCATGTGCTCCCTCCCTTCCTCCTGAGCCAGCCAGCCAGCCACATTTACATAGGAGAGCTGGGCTGAGATGCAGCCTGGTTCTGTGCCTCTCTATGTCTTCTGCACACAGCCCATCAAGTCGGAAAAACCCATCAACATGGAGAACCTTCCAGTAAACAACGGGAATGGACAAGCCTTTGGGTACACTCTGTATGAGACCACCATCACTTCATCAGGCATCCTCCGTGGCTGTGTGCGTGACCGGGGCCAGGTAGGAGTATCTCTTCTGAATCCAGGGGACTGTCTAGTGACAAGACCTACAGTACATACTTTATTCCCTCTGCCCTCAGAATCAGCTATCCCCTCCCCGGCTCTGTGAGCCTTTGCAGCTGTGACCTCGGAGTTCATTTCACCTCTATGTCTGGCTAGAGCCCCTCCTAGGTAGGCAGGCACATAGCACTGCCTCTGTCACTGCCCAGTGAAGGCCTCTCTCATCTACCTTCCTGCTGACCATGGCTGCTTTCCATTTTCTCCCTTTGGCAGGTATTTGTGAACACAGTGTCCATAGGATTCTTGGACTATAAAACAACAGAGATTGTTATCCCCTTGATCCAGGTTTGTTATCCCTAGGATCCTAGGGATTTGGGTGTGGCTAGCCCTGGTGCCTCCATGGTGGTTTCGTGGGTGTTCAAGAGGAAGACCTAGAAGCCAGGAGTCTCCTTAACTACAAGCTGTGGATGGAGGGGGATGGGTATGGCTTTCTGGCCAGCCAGAGGCTCTCACTCTAATTCTCAAAGTGTAGGGAAGAACTGGGGTTCACAAACACACCCCAAGGTGCATCAGTGACCTTATGGCTGGTCATCAGGAGGTTATCATTGGCCACTCTGTTCCTGGCAGGGTTATACTGTGTTGAGGATCTTGGTGGAGAACCGTGGGCGAGTCAACTACGGGAATAATATTGATGATCAGCGCAAAGGTGGGTCTCAGCATGTGCCAGGAAGCACTATCAGAGCACCACACAGATGTGGGCTGCTACTCCTCATGCAGCTCATCATCAGGGTGTGGAGGCCCACTGGAGGGAGGTAGAGGCTGAGTAGGCCAGAAAAGCCTAGCTACATTCTGACCTCTTCTCCTTTAGTCCTGCATGTCTGTGTGTGTATGCTCTTGGGGGCCCACAGAACTCTGAGCTGGCCTCTAGTCTTTCAACTCAAATCTGCTTTCACAGGGATCCATCTGCTTGCTTAGGTGTGAAGAGCAAGGGAAGGGATTGTTAGGCCTTCAAAGATGGGTGCAGGACCTCTGCCTCTACCTTGAATTTCCTTTCCTCTGCTCTGGGGAAACCTATAGATTGTCTTTCTATAACAAGGAAAAAGAAACAGGGTATACAATAAATAGAATGTATACCCCTTCTAGGAGTTTCATACTAATTCACTTTATTTTTTCTAACATTCTGATCTTTCATGCTGTAATTTAGCTTTTCCTCTCTTTTATGTGGCTACCTAAATGTGGGTGCTTTCAAATAAGGTATGAATAAAGGAGCTCAGGTAAGATAATCTGCTGTGGTGAGGAGGACTGCTGACCTTCCCATTCTCTTGAAACTCTACTTTTGTAGTGGGGGAAACTTGCACCCTCTTTTCCTGGTCATACTTTCAGTGGAGATCCTTCTGGTAGCCTGCACAGAAAGCATGTAGCCCCGACATGGGACTCCTCCCCAGAAGGACCTTGGAGTAGCTTATAACGTCATCCAGGCTGGCCTTTCTTTTCTGAAACAGTTCCCAGTAATCCTTTGGGTCTCAGTGCCTTTTCAGGTTCCCTCTGTTGAGCCCACTTCACTTCCTTTGTTCTGCTGGGGTTGGAAGGACCCCCCTGGCGTGAGCTTTGTGGCCTGTGTTTGTGTTTCTGGGGCCTACAAGTTTGTCCTGACTTCCTCTGTGAGTTCTGTCCTCTGGACCACAGTTCCATGTTTGTAAGTTGCAGACCTCCCCTCCAGAAATGTGTACATGCACATTTGTACATGCAAATGTGTACACGTACATGCACACGCACACATCTACACATCTGCCTGTGTCACTTAAAGAGCATCTGCAGCCCCACAATGCCTGTCTGCATTCCTCTGCTTGCTCGAATTCCTACTTCAGCAGCTCAGAGGCTCCACATGCACAGTACCCTGACAACCTCCAAGACCGCATAGCTGGCCCCATTCCTGATGTGGAGATCCACGGCTGTTCAGGACCCAGTGTCCAGTCCCAAGTAATACTGCCATGTGCTCGTGATTTAAACACTTTCAAAATGCCTCTTCAGTCCTGGGTTAGGTAGAAGTTTCCTGGCTGAGTTTGGGTCTGTTAGCCTGGGACCCTACTGATACTGATCTTGAAGCTAGGCCTGCACCCTGTCACTTCTTGGTCATGCAGAGCTTCCCTCAGAGAGACCAGAGATGTCTCACCTTTGACCTATCAGCTCTGTTCCTGTGCTTGGGTAGATCATTCTTCCTACAGCCTTGGAAGTCATGCTTTTGCTGGTTATCATATCACTGGCATGAATAGGAGGCTTTGTCTGCAGTGCAGAGTTCCTTAGGCAGCAGCACCTGCTTCAGGAGAAGCCCACACTTGAGCTTTTCTATGGTGGCCCTGGCCATATCCAGCCAGCCACCCCTGCATTGGGCTTGCTCATGTTTCCTGGCCTCCTCCCCACAGGTTTGATTGGAAATCTCTTTCTAAATAACTTTCCCCTGAAAAACTTCAAAATCTACAGCCTGGATATGAAAAAGAGCTTCTTTCAGAGGTGGGTCCCTTCCTGAGTCCATGTGAGCATGCAGATGCTGTGTGGTAGGCTCCGGGCCCCTACTGCCCCATGGGTGCCTGCAGGTACACAGATGAACTGAGGCCCAGGTGCTTGGTCAGATGAGGGCAGTGCCATGCCAGAACCCTGTACGGTTAGGGAGGGAATGTCCATTGTGCCACCTGCCTGCCATTCCTGTGGCCTGGTAAAGAGGCAGGAGGTGGGGATGTGGGACCTTGAGGTGGGGAGGGTGCCTGGAACCAGACCTGGGACAGAGCCTCCCACCCATTCCTGCCATGTTCTGTCCTTAGGTTCGGCACTGATGCGTGGAGTACTGTCCCTGAAGCACCTACGTTCCCGGCTTTCTTCTTGGGTTCCCTGTCCGTTGTCCCTTCCCCTTCTGACACATTTCTGAAGCTGGAGGTTTGTGGGCCCCTTTCCCTGCCCTGGACGTCATGCCTCTCAGGGCTCTGAGCCACAGCCTTTGTGCTTGGCCTGTCTGGAAACCTGTGTGGCGCCTGGGTTGCCCATCTGAAAGTGCCCCATGTCCCTCTGAGACAGGGTCAGGGTCAGGGTCTCAAAGCAGAAATACCTGGTGGTTCTGCTTGGGTTCCTGTCTAGCCAGCCTGGGGGTACCCTGCCTAGGTGGCTTAGAGCTAGCAAGGTGAGAGGCAGAACATACCACCTGCACACCTTAGTGGTGTCCAAAGCTGAGTGAAGAACATAGGTTGTGTGTCTGACTGTGTCTCTGCCTTCTGCTGTGGTGCTACCTTCTTGGCCATGTGGTAGACTAATGCCCCATTACTCTGTTTGAAGGGTTGGGAGAAGGGGGTTGTGGTGGTCAATGGCCAGATCCTTGGACGATACTGGAACATCGGACCCCAGGAGACTCTCTACCTCCCAGGGGCCTGGCTGAACTCAGGAGCCAACCAGGTGGGAGCACTTCTGGCCTCCTCTCCTTTTCCTTGTGACTCCCCTCCCACCCCTCTCCTCCTGTCATCAAAATGCTGCCCTGGGAGCCTTTGGTCAGGATTAGGGAGAGGCAGAAGTTCCAGGTAGCCTCTTCCCTTCCCTTCCCTTCCCTTCCCTTCCAACCCTGCCACCACATGGCCCCCTGGTCTGGATCCAGGACAGAGCCTACAGTCCAGCCCTCTCTCTCCCACAGGTCATTGTTTTCGAGGAGACTGTAGCAGGTCCTATGGTGCAGTCCACTGATACCCCTCACCTGGGGAGGAACCAGTATATTCACTGAGCAGCACCCCATGCTTCCTGCCTGGACTTGCTGCCTCCATCTCCCTGCAGGAGTCTCCTTAAGAAGCAACCTTAGAGAATTGAGGGTCACAGACTGCCCTTGGTCTGAAACCCTACACCTGGGGGCCCTGAGGAGCACGGTGGAATGGCACAGGGACTCCCTCTTCCTAGCTGGCTTCTCAGCCTGGCTTTGTGGCTGGTGCCTTACACTTCCTTGCCCCCATGGGAGAGGCCTCAGGGACATCTCTGAGAGCTGGGAGTGTTTAGTCAGATATAAGTGATGAGTGCTGGGCCCCCAAACAAGGTGCTGAAGCTGGGGCATCACCCCTGCTCCAGAGTTAGAGCCCTGCTGATCAGTCTGCTGGAAACAGGTATGCTTTCAATGTCCAGGGTTGTGGCAGCCTCCTACATGGCCCTTTTGTGTTCCTGAGGCTGTAGGTTTGCCGCCATTTGTAGAGGATAGGGAAGGTGTCTCACCTGAGTCAACTTTGTTTTCTCTTCAGCACCCTCCATGAGCTGCCTCCACTGGAGAAACAATGTCCTCTCTTTTTCATTCCTACAATCTCTGCATCTGATAGGATGACAAACTAAGCTTAAGAGAAACAGAAGTACCCACTCACTCTCCTAAATCAGAAAACATTTCCAGTTGTTCTCAATGAGAAGAGTCCTTTGAAGAGAAATGTGGATCCTAGCAGAAAGTACACCCCACATCTGGCTTCCAGGGTGGGAAAGGTGGAGGTCCAGTTAGGTGGCTTCGGGCATGTAGCCCGCAGAGAATGTCGAGGTAGCCAGAAGGTGCATAGATCTAGCCTAGGCATTGTCCTTAGCTTCGTATATCCCCTGCCCTTCATGACTAGGCAGCAGGAGGTAAGGTAGCTTTTCTGCGCAGCCGTCTCCATGTCCAGATTGGAGGCTCTTTCTCTCAGATCAAGTCCAATGGTTTGGCTCAGGTTCACTGTCCTGAATTGCAATAAAGCAATAGAGATGAACCAAATCCTCTTTGCCAGCATCTCTGCCTTGACTGTAGCACTCTAAGACGGTGCAGAAGGTAGCTAGTCTGAGGCACACATTTCGCTGCTGGTGCTTGAAGATGTAGACACTGCCACATCCAGCTGGTGCCCATCCATACCCCTGGCTTCCTCTGCACCGTGGTTTTCCTTGAAATGTTACTAGGTTGGAAGGGTCACTGGAAAGGAGAGGTCAAATACAAGGCATTCTCATGCTGATGGACGAGAGTAGAAATGCTCCAAACAGCCAAGGATGCCAAGTTAGGTGTGGGTGGTGGGTAGTGGTGCTTTCTTCACAAACTACATCTGCCATGCACTGCCTAAAACTAATTATCTTTAGGAACAGTCAAAGGCAGACAGCACACACCTTTTGAGCAGAATTCCTGCATGGTGTTGGGTGGACAGGTAGCCCAAACACAGGGTCAACAGTGGAGGTACCCTGGTGTGCAGCAGGTTGTGGGGCCCCATGTGGTGACCAAGGGTAGAGAAAAGAAGCTTCTTAAAGTGAAGGTTTTGGACAGTGGCTAGAGAGACAGACAGGGGCACAGTGACTAATTTTGTCCAAACTCATCAGCTCTTTTTGAGCTCACTGGAATGGTGGGCATTGAGCTAAGATGTGGGTGAGCCCAGGGTTACTCAGGTGTGGCCTGAGTCAGGTAATAGTGTCAGTATCACTTTATTGTGCATTGCGTAGGAGCGGGGTTTCTGCAAAGCTCAACCCTGCTGGAAAACGTGACAGTGAACTGGAACTTAACACTGGGCTTCTTTGCTCTGTCTATATTTACCACATGGGATGTACCTGCAAGACCTGTGGCTTTCCAAACAGCCTTAACACCAATGTCCATCCCGTCTTGCTCTAGGTGCACAGGCAGCTGTTCCCTCACCATTCCCTCCACATGTCTAGCAGGCATCTGGAACAGAATTCCGATTTTCCCCAAGTGCCCTGCTGTACTCTGCCCCATGTCAAGCAATGGCAATTCTCTTCTGTGTGCCTGGGATTACTTTGGGTTCTTTTCTTTATATCCTTCTTCTAGTCCTTCAGCAAGTCATCCTGCTCTCTGTCTTAAATACACCTGGAATTCAGCCATTTCTCTCCTTCCTGAAGCTTTTGCCCTCAGAAAACCCATCATGGTCTCTACCTGCCTTCCTGCTGGCCCTTGCCCACTCTATCTGTCAGTACGGGAAGCAGAATGGTTCTTCTAGAAAGCCAGTTGGATCATGTTGCTACCCTATGCCGAACCCTCCAATGCCTTGTTTCAACCAGGGTAGAAACCAAAAATTTACCCTGGCTCCACAGCACCCACGTTATGTGCCCACCTTTTCTTCTAGTGCATTTTAGCCTTCCTCTTGTACCCATAAGTTGCAGCAACATGAACCTTTGGGCTATAAACACGCCAAGTGCCCTCCTACCTGCAGAGAGCCTTCTTCTCAGGATGTTCTGACCCTGTGAGTTGCATGCATGTAGGGTGTTGCTGCTCTGCTCAAAATCACTGTTTCGGGGAGACCTTTCTGACCATCCCACATAGAACCTTAGCCCCCTTCTGCTACTCTTCATGACCCCACCCTCCCAGGGCCTCTCCTTGCAGCAGATCACATTTGAGATGCTGTGCGTTTGTCAACTGAGTCTTGGTGATAAAGGGTAAGTGATGTGAAGACTTTTATGTTTAGAACAACACCTGGTCATAGCAGGCACACTATGAACACTTGTTAGATGCCTAAATCAGTGAATGAGAATAAACGAATGCAGGGCTGAAGAGGATTATGACTGTTAAAAACCATATTTGACTTTTAATTTTGAAAACAAATTACAGTTAAATGAAAATGGAGCAGATGGTGCAGCTGCCTGAGCTCCACACTACCCCAGCCTCTACCCTCAGAACGCCTAATCCTGGCCTCATTTGGGGCAGGCTTGCCAGCATGGGAGCAGGGAGGAGCCTGGGTTTGGAGAACAGGTTGTTGTTGTGGACCAGTTCTGATTTATAACAAACTCATTTCCAACAAAGAGAAGGCTGAACTTCACCAGGGTTATAATTATAAATAAATATACATGCAGCTAGGAGAGGATATTAGGGAAAAAACAACCAAACTAGCATCTGCAAAAAAAAAAAAAAAAAAAAAAAATCCCCATTTTGTTGTTCATTGTCAGTTTCCTGGAAATGAGCCTTGGGTTTTGGCTAAGAAGATGGTCTCAGACCAGCCAATCTGATCTTGGTGTTCAGGGCCAGTTTCCTCAAGTGAGGTGTAGAATGTGCAGATGTAAATTCACTCACTGATGGATGCCCTGTGCCCACCTCCTCCCTCTCCTGTGTCCCCTCACTGGATGCCAAGTGGTCTGTTTCCAAGTGTAGAGGCTGGGAAAGATGTCCTGCGAGGTGGCTCTGGATCTGATTCCAGCAGATGATCTGGTGAACACCATGGAATGTGAAATCCACTTCCAGATAGGCAGCCAGTGCTATGCTCTCAATGTTAGGTCTCTGAACTGAGTCCCACCCATCCACCCAGGATGGTCTCAGTGGTCTGCAAACCTGTCCTGTGAGTTTTAATGGAGTAGGGGCTGTTAGCAGTTAAAAAATACACACCTCTTCAGTAGGCTTGGGCCCTTTCCTTTTCCTCCGCTTTGGAGAAAAATTGTGCTTCCAACCTGCAGGAGCATGCACTAGATCATACCGGAGGGGCTGCTGGGCAGCAGGCGAGGACCTGTCCAGCGCCCCTCAGAGGAGGGCAGCCACTCACTGCACACTGTTCTCTCGGGTGGAGGGGGTAGCTGGGCATGAGGCAGGCTGGCTCTACCTGTTCCCAACTTAGGGAGAAGTGAGATTTTCTTTCCCATTTTTAAAAAAATATAGAATGATTTCCAAAGCAGTGTGTGCTCAGGCCTCCTCTCAGTGTTCAGTGGAAATCTGCTCCCTTTCCCTAAATCCCTCTGCCATTCTCTCTTATACATACACACCAAGACTGCGCAGGGAGGACCTAAAGGTTGCCCTCACCTTCCTCCGCTCTATGGCCAGAGGAGCTCTTGCCTGCCCACTGCTGCTCACTCCAGCCCTGAGGTCTGATGGTGTCAGAACTCCAGGAAGTGGACCTTTCCCCTTCTGGTTCCTGGCCAGGCAAGCGACTTCTCAGTCTAGTGTTGTGGGAGGCAGTGTGTGGAAAATGGGGTCGTGTGGTTCTGGGTGCAGGTCAGTCAGTGACCTGTGCTGGCTCTGGGCCACCTCCTTGCCAGTACTGGAGGAGAAGGCTTGAGGGAAGTGGCAAGAGGAAGGGGCTCCACTCCCGTCACAGCCTGAGGTACGGGGGACTTATGGCAGGCCCAGGCTCCCCCATGCAGGGCTGGGTGCCAGTGGGATCAAAGACGGCCTGATGCTCTGTAAACATGGACCAAGGAGAGCCAGAGGTATGTCTGATTTGGGAGCAGGGCTCAGGAAGAGCAGGTGCCAGAGATGGGTGTGGGGCACATGTGGTGCCCTGGGGCTGCTCTCTGGTCTTTATACTCCCTGGCTGGTCAGCCCGTGTGGTCGTGCAGAAGCAGGGTACCAGCGCAGGCCATGTCCCCTTGACTGTGGGCCTTCTCACCTCCCTCCCAGCCCTGTGTGGCTGCCCAGGCCCTGTCAGTGCAGAGAGCTTATCAAGAGTGTGCTGGGTGCCAGCGCTGCTGGCAGCTGCATCCCCCAGTCTCTCAGGTCCTGTGTCGTGTTGGATGGAGAGAACAGGTCTGGGATTTCTGTGCTTAAATTCTCTGTCTTTTGTCCTGGCATCAAGCTGGGCTCTCTGAGAGGTCCCTAGAATAGCAAGGAGGTGATGGTGCTTCCTCAGGAGTTTGCTGTGGTGGTCCAGCAGCTGTGGGGAGAGGATGGAGGCCAACAACAGGGTCTGAGGCTGAGGAGGAGGCTCCTGTGGGGCAAAGGAGAAACCAGAGGGGTCAGCCCGGGTAGGGTCAGAGAGGGCACAGCTAGCATGCCAGCCACTCAGTCTGGTCCCCTAGATGGGGCTGCTGGAGTCTACAAAGCCTGAGTCCTCTTTGGGGTCTTTTCTGAGGCAGGTAAGGAAGGTTCTGTATGACTAGGTAAGGGTAGGGGGCTGGGGACAAGGGTCTATACTGATCATTCTAAGTGGCACTGGCCAAGGTGACTTTGTAGGTTCAGGGGACAAAACAGGCAGAGTGAACCCTCTAGTTCCTGTGGGCAGGGAGGGTGCAGGTGACCTGGGGACCGAGGACAGATGTCTGCCCAACGTCTGAGCTCCAGCCTTTGCATGCACAACCTAGGGAAGGGAGCCGTAAGAAGTGCTTTCACGAGGTAGGGTGGGGGCACAGAAAAGCCCTCAGGAAGTCCTGGCCCGGCTGTTCACCCAGCACCACTCACTCAGGCCAGTGTATCACACTGGGCAGTTATTTCACTCCTCTGAAGCTGCTTCCTTACCTCTGAACTATGCACACATCCTGTGGTCTACCTCAACAGAGAGATCTAAACAATCAAATAAACATAGCAAAACTTAAATAGGACTTGTTAGTTGCCCCAGACTGTTCTCAGGGCACAGATGAAGATCTTGAGGCACAGGAGTAAATGGGGTCAGACAGAGAAAGGTCCGGGTGTGGGACCAGGGTACATGAGCAGGATCTGGGCACATGAGCCATTGCTTGCTGAGAGCCACAGGGTCATTGGCTGGAGCAGATGCATGACAGAAGGGGCATCCAGAAGGAACAGGCAACCTCAGGACAGAACTGCTAAGCACATCTGAGTAGCAGCCCCTTGCCATGGGCTAGGAAACAGTAAAGTGAAGAAGGTGATGCCATCCCAAGTGTCTGGTGGCAGGACCCAGCCGTGTGGGTGATATCTGGCCCCTGCCACCTGTCAGGCAGCTGGGCAGGAAGGGCCGTCAGCCACACCTCTTGCTCTCTTGCTCACATTTAGCCCTGTCTTCCCACAAAGACCAAGAGGAAGGAGGCTGAGGCAGGAGGACCACGAGTTCAAGCCCGGCCTAGGAAACATATTGAGGTAGGAAGACCTGGTCTTGAAGAAATAAAGGACTGGGAATATAGCTCAGTGGAAAGGCTTTGGGTTCAATCCCCAGTAACACACTCTCTCACTTTCCTCCCTCCCTCCCTCCCTTTCTCTCTCTCCCTCTCTCTCACATGCACACACACACACACACAGAGCCAAGAGAAGCCCCAGGGCCATGCTGCCCAGCTCCTTACCTGGCCTGGCTGCCTGCCCTCCTACCTGTGTCCTGAGGCTCAGATCTCCACCGAGGGGTCAGTGAAGCCCTTCTTCCCCTCATTCACCAACACTGGCTTCTCTGTGCGTGTGTGCCAGACCAGAATCTGTGTCCAGAAACAGGAAATGAAGTGGGGTGTTCTGTACCTCACCCAGCACCTTCCTGCCCCCTCCTATGACTCAGTATTTCTCCTGCCCCTCCTTCTCTTTCTGTCCTTGTTCCATCAAGATTTCTCACTTGTTCTTTATTTCTACCTGCCCCCTTCATTCTTGCCGTCTGTACTTGTGATGCATTCAAAATATCTGTTGCAAAGGAGAAATCTAGAACTATGGAATAGAGACAAGTTCTAAGATTTCCCAAGTATACGTGCACCTGCCATAGTAATGCATGTGCATGTGCATGTGCATGTGCATGCGTGTGTGTGTGTGTGTGTGTGTGTGTGTGTGTGTGCACTCAGCAAGTTTGGGAATACCACTGTTCTGATGGGGGAGCAGGAATTCTCCGTTGTGACTCCTTGAAGGCCATCTCTCCCATCCCCCACCTGGCATCAGCATGGCCACCTTACAGGCAACAGAGAAATTGGTCCTCTTGGTGGGGATTTTAGAAAGGCAAGGCTATTTCGAGGCTCTGTTTCCTTCCCCCACCTGTAGAGAGGGTCCAGATGGGCTCAGGGACATCTGCCTTGCAGCTGCCGGCTCTGCAAGGGGTCCTACCTTGGTGCAGTTGGCTGCCTTGGGCTCCAGGTCACTGAGGGTGACCAGTTCTCGAAGCAGGCTGCTTTCCTGGTAGCCTCCCTTCACACCACGCAGCTTGAAGTAGGCCTGGCTTCGCTGCAGGATGAGCCGCAGGTTGACGGCAAATCCAGCCATGTCGATTGCAAAAGGTCGGTGCGGGTCGAACACCGTCTTCCAGCCAACCACCTTCCCTGCGCCGTTAACCCTCGGGGCCTCATAGCGAAGGCCACCAACAAAAGCAACGGGCCACACGGATACCCTCCTGGTGCTGCGCATCTACAAGGGAGGAGGCGGAGTCAGGACAGCTGATCTGCGGACAGGGAAGGCGCTCATCTCCTACAGGGGACTGGGGCGTCTGCAGCCCTGCACCCTGTCCCACCTCAGGCACGGTCCTGGGGATGGACACCCGAGGGCCTCTCCCTTAGGCTGCCAGCAAGCCCTGGCCGGCAGACGCGATGCTCGCCTCCCGGACGCAGCCCTGCTGCTGTTTGCTCCTGGACAGCACTCTGTCCTCCGCGAAAGGAAAGGACTCCGCTCCTCCTCCAGACTCACGCAGCCCGCAGAGAGCTCAGACGGTGCCCAGGAGTGGGTTCTGCTTGCCACTGAACGTCCCCACTCAGAACATTCTGGACAACTCCTCTCGATCAGGACTGTGGTTTGGGGAGTGGTAACCCACTGTGTTTCCTTTCACCGGGGAGGTTTGGCCCGCAGGCAGGCTTCCGCCCCTTTCCTTGATTCTCTGTGTGTGCACAGACCCTCTGCCTCACGGGGACCCTGCCCTCTCCAGTGCCCTCCCGGCTGCCCACCAGCCCCTCCTCAGCTGGCACCTCCTCGAAGAGCTCCAGGCTGTAGGTGTTGTCGTCGTCCGCGAAGTACACCACGCCAGGCTGGGAGGAGTTCCGCGGGAAGGTCTCCCGCAGCCAGCGCAGGGCCAGGTTCCGTTGCATGGTGCCCCGCGGGATGCGCGGGTCGCGGGCGTCGCCGCGCAGCTTGTAGTTGCGGGGCGTCTCCACATGCAGGTGCGTGTAGTTGAGGCCCGTGTCACGCAGTAGGCGCGCGGTCAGCGGCGTGCGACGCGGCGCGTCCTCCACCACCAGCCAGTGCAGGTTGGGCACGTGCAGCAGCGTGTTGGCCATGCGCGTGAGCTCGGCCTTCTGCACTGGCCGGCTGTAGGTGGGCGTCACCACGTGGATGGTCGGCAGCGTGTCGGACCACGGCGGAGGCCGTGTATACACGTACTCCGTGCGCACCACCTCCACGATGTCGCGGTCCGACATGCAGTACTCCCTGGGGTCCGTGCCCACCGGCGCCTCTCGCCTGGGGTCGCCGCCCTCATCTGTGGAGTTGGAGACAGACCGTGTGGGGACTAGAGCCCTGGCCCGGCCCACGCCCCAGATCTAGGGTGGAGGGCAGCACCCTGCCAAAGCAGCCTTTTCCCATATCCCAGGGTGGAGTCAGAGCCTGGCCTCATCTGCTGGTCTCTTGAGAGCTAACGCTGAAATGGCCTCCCTGGGATGCTCAGGGATTTCTTCCTGCTGAATCCCTGGATGACAGGAATAACATCCTCCTCCTCACACTTGATAGCCAGCCACTGTTCCAGGGCAGCTGGCGACACTCCAGGCTTGCATTCTCAGCTCTTCAGTGCACTGGGTTTTCCTTGAAAAGTGCCCTGACCCTCTCCTCCCTAGTGCTGCCACATCCGGTGGAGCTGGCCGCGCTGGACGGTGGCACTGCCACACTCCACGGTGTCACAAGTCCAGAGCAGAGTGGCTACAGCACATAGTGGCCCCCAAGGAACCTGAGATGAGCTGCCCCAGATTTTTCACAAACTCTGGTCGGGTGGGGCCTCTCCCTCCAGGCCTTATGTAATCGAGTCTTTGAATCTTAGCACAGAACTTAATGTTTAACTGCAGCATTTGATTGTACTGGCTTTTGCCCATAATTGTTAAGAGAGTTTTGCATCCTGAACATTATCCCTGATTTTAAACTTTCTTCCATTTTGGAATCCACAAAAGGACATGGCAGAGACCTTCATGTTGCCTGGTGCTTGACTCCTGATCTGTGCTTTCTGGACACTCTCATTCAGCTGCTGGGAAACTGTCCCACTGTCCTAGCATCCAAACAGTGTCTCCTGTCTCCACCCCAAGGATGCCACAAGGGACACTAGCAATTTCAGAGCCTGGCCCCTGGCCACATACTCAGGTGTGGGGAGGCTTGCACTTTCTGGGGGTAACCTGTCCTTGCTGGGGGCAGCTCTAGCAACCAAGGTTTTTCTTACATCCTAGACTCTTCCTTACAGGGAATACAGCAGTCATGTTAAGAGGAGCCATGCAGGCTACTGGTATTCTGGTTTCAAGCTTTGTCTCCGAGTTTGAAGGGCCCCTGCACAGATGGTGCGGCCCTTGCTGGGCATGGTGTGCTATCATAGCAGGAAGGTAGTGCGCAGAAGACAGACCTGGCAGCCTGGATGTCCAGGCTCAGACCCTGCCCTTCTCTCGTAAGCTATGTGCTCTTGAGCAAGTCACTTAACTTCTGGTGCCTTGATTTCAAGAGCTATTAATAGCATCTACTTTATTGAGTTTTTCTGTGGATTAATGAGTCAATACACATTTTGGGTGCAAAGCACTGCCAGGCACAGTTAGGATTATTTCCTCTTTTGTAGGATGCTAGCTGCCCTACTTCCTCCTGGCTCCATGTGATCATAATGAGGATAGAAAGAGCATGGTCACATGGAGGGTGCTGGGTTCAGCATTTCTTTTCTGCCCTCCAGCCCACCACTCTTCCTGGCAGCATGTGGGGTGTGTAGGGTGCTTGTATGGAGTCTGATATGGTCAAATCCTAAAGAGGAGCTTCTCTTGGTGCTCAGCAGCTAGGAACCAGCTAACCAGGCCACAGATAGGGTACTGGGGGAGGGGGCGAGCAGGGAGGAGAGCAGCACAGATGCAGCTCATCAAAGGAGACTTTCTGGAGGAATTATGGGTCAAACCAAAAAGAGAACAAGGTTGAAGAGTGATGCATGTCCAAGATTCTGACCAGGATATAAAGTTAAATTTATTTTGCAGTCAAAAAGGAAACTGAAGTCTGGGAAGGAGATTTAGAGTAGTTTGCCTCCACTCTGTTGTTCAGGTCACCTCAACAGGTACAGGCCTGTGCCAGGAAAAGGCTCCTGTGCTAAGACTCAACCTGCACCCCACACTTCCCACTGGCCTCAGGTTTCTGCAACTTTGAGTCATAAAGGCCTGCTTGTGACCCTCCCTTCATTCAGCTGCAGGATCTACTCCATCCATCCATCTTGGCTTGCCATGGGGAGACAGGGTGTCAAATCACACCTTTGGGCATAACACCAGTGCTTAGTGAAGTAGCCAGTGTCTCTGACCCTAGCTCTGCCAACAGACATGATACTATGTTGTTTTATATAAGGCAGTTTATCCCCTCTGGAGTGATGTATGTTCAGGGTAACCGTGATTCTCAACTGACAGACACCAGTGAGAGGTGCTGGAGTGAGAAGCAGAGAAAATCTTCAGGCAGAGAGGCCCAAAGTACCCAGTGTGGGCAGTGGGGCTGCAGCAATCCTGAGCTTGGCCTTTCCTCAAGAAAACTGCAGGGACTGCAGGACATTCTGCAGGGCCTGATATTGTACTGAGTAGCATAGCAGTGCTTGCTCCATAGATACAGTCTGCATCTGAATCACTTGGGGATAGGAGATTGCTAGGCCCAACTCCAGAGTTACCCTCTCTGTTGCTGAGGTGGCTTTGGGAGCTTTCTTGTTTTTCATGCTCCCATGTAAGATGATGATACTTTGAGATTGGAGTGGAGCTCAGTGATACAGCTCTTGCCTGGCATGTGTGAGGCCCTTGGTTCCATCCCCAGCACCTCATTAAAACAAAACAAAACAAAACAAAACAAAAAACAAAAAAAAAAAAAAAAGGAAAAGGATAATGAACATTGTAAGAGGAGAATTGCACTTGCTTAAAAGTATTTATCCCTAAAAGTATCAGACTAAAGGCAGAGGAGTGAGGGAAGCCAGATACGGGGCATGGGGAAGGTGTTGGAGTGCAGGGAGCTCAGGTGTGAGAGAGAAAGGCAGCCTCAAGACTCAGGAGCAGGAGAGGTGGCTCAATCCCAGTGATGCCCGTCAGGACTCTTGATAGATCAGAATCTCCTAAGCAGGAAATGGGGAAACATAATACTCTCCTTGAAAGTTTTAAAACACCATACAGATTCTAGGAGGCTTTGCGAGACCCTCTCTCAAAAAATAAAGGGCTAGGGATAAAGCTCAGTGTGAAGGGCCTGTGTTCTCTCTTTAAGTACTACAAAAATAGATCTCACAACACAGGTGTCAGTGGGGCTCAGTGGTATAGTACTTGCCCAGAATGCTGGAGGCCCTAGTAAAAACATAAATAACAAAAAAAAAAACATATCTGGCAAAGGCCACAAATCCTCTCCCTCCCTCCCCTCTGCTGCTGAGTGGTCTGTTCCTCCCATGTGGTGAGACTGGTGTGCACATGTGCACATTGATCTTGTTTTCTACAGTTTTTCTATGATCGATGCCATGACATCCTGGGGCCTTGCAGAACTGAGAAGGGTGCCTTCCAGGGGTACTAATTTCTAGTGATAGTGCACAATTGCCTGAAGCACACCTTTCATATGCAAATGAACCAACCTGGAACCCTTGCCCCAAACCACCACCTTATCAAACTCAAACACAAGCTAATCTTCCCTTGCCCTAAATCACCCCATGGCCAAATACTGGATAATTAGAAACCACCTCATATCCTAGAACCCATGGAAATGATTCAAACGATCCACTTCTGAGTCTGTTCCGCTGCTTGCTTGGCCCTTTTTCTTCTTGCTGAAGCCACAATAAAGGCTTTGCCCACCCTCTCTCTCCAGGTCTGCCCTGGGCTGCCCAGTGCTTGCCCATGGGCCTGCAGAGCGTGCTCCCTCTCCTCGGGAACTGAGAATAACAAATTCTTTTAAGGCAGTGGTCTTGGTATTATGCTAAATTAAACCTAATCCCAAGTATATCTTAAAACTGCATGTGGGGAGATTTTACCAGATTCTAAGAGGTACACCAGACCCCAGGAGAGTAATATGACCGGGATGATCTCTAGGGCACTCTTATCTGCTCAGTGTTTCACAACAAGAACCTGTCTGTGGATAAGGGCAGTCGTGCTGGGGTGGGGTGGCTCACCCTTGTGCATGGCGAGCAGGGGCGCGAGGGTGGTCTGGTGCCACACAGTGATGAGCAGTGTCCAGGGCAGCACGATGAGGATGATCGCAAGGATGTCCCGTCTTTTCGGCATCTCCAAGGCTGGCTGCACCCACAGCTCCTCATTACCTGAGTGGCAGTAAGGTCAGGAGAGGGGCGGCCACAGAGCAGCAGCAGCAAAGGGGAGAAAAGAATAGGCATGGGCCGGCCGGCCAGGCATGCAGAGAACAGGGAAGCCGAACGCTGGCTAGCAGGTCTTACCAGCGCTCACAACCCACCCATTGTGGAAGCAGGTTTGGAGAATCCCAGCTGAGGAGTTTGACAAAGGGTGGTTGTCCAGGGTAGGGTCAGGAGCTCTCAGAAGTGGACACCTGCAAGAGAGAGCAGAAGAGGATGGCCAGAGAGCTGGGCATGGGGGTCACTGTCATTGGCAGGTTCCTGCTGCAGTTTCCTTCTGCCTACCTGGCTGAATGAGGCTGTGCCTTTCCCACTGGTCCCGGGTGTGGCATGATGGACTTCAGATACACCTGCCTGGTTGTCAGTCCAAAACGTGCTGCCCATGAGCTGCTCAACTTTTGCATATGAAAGGTGTGTTTCAGGCAATTGTCCACTATCACTAGAAATTAGTACCCCTGAGCTGCTCAACTTTTGCCTACAGCAATTCTCTGTGCTACAATTTTCTCGTCCTTAAAATAGGGCCCCTACTTCCCAAGGTTGTTCTCAGAGTTAAACATTACTGGTTGCCCCTGCTATCAGTGCATGAGAAACCAAGCTACTATGATGTCCAAATGGTCAGGCCTGGGGGCCCTTCATGGCCTGGGTAGTGGGGTCGGAGTTGGAAGGCCTCCTTTAAGGGGAAGGAAGGTGTGCTTTAGTGCCAGGCCCTGGGAGGAAATGCCACAAGTTCTTGTCCCGGGCAGGGTGTGCAGGAAATTCTGACTGGGGCGGGGTAGCCATGGGAATGGGGGTGCCCTTTGTGGCTGCTAGGTCTTGGGGAAAAACTTCTCAGAAATGGCAGCTGCAGGACCCCAGGAAAGACACCCTGGCAGGGAGAATGTGCCAGATTCGAATGTGTACTCAGTTCTGCTATCTGCTGGCAGCCACCCACTCCAGGACTTGCTTTCTCTGGTGGCAAGGAGTCTTAGTGTATAGAGTCCATGGCCATTTGGGAACTGTCACATCCCCTTCCTCTCCTTCTGTCTTCACTCTGAGCTGAGCTATGCAGATGCAGCTGGGGTCTGTAGGGTAGAGGGGAGAGCGGGCAGCCAGGTGCTCCCTGGCCAGCCCTTGAACCATCACCACCCATAGTGCCCAGTGGCTTCAGCCCCAGCCTACATGTGCTCATCTCTGGCATGGTGGAGAGGCATGCCCACAAAGAGCTTCTGCCCATCTCTTCTCAGTCTTCACTAGTTCTGAGGCCTGCTGAAAGACCCAGGTCTGCCTCCCAGTAAAAAGCACAGTTGGTTCTCCTGCACACCCCTTCCCGCCCAAGGCCTGATGCCTCCAGAGTTTGTGGACAGATGGCAGCAGGCACCCCTCGTTCCCTAGGATGGAAGGCACATAGGGTTAAGTGTTGTGGACAGAGGGCAGCAGTGGGGCCCACGAGGAGGGCTGCTGCTCTGCCTGGGTGCAGCATCCCCTTGGCTGTCCTGGCAAGTAACATAGCTTAGCACACACACCAGGAAGCTTGTGTGAGGCATGATGACCTTACGCCACACCCTCTGGATAAAGGTCCTGTCCCCCTCAACCGGGCCACTGGCAGGCTGCACAGGGTTCTGTGTCAAGGCCACATGTTGGCTGGCATGATTTTAGGGCACATCTTATGAAGTGCTATGGTCTGAGTACTGCTTGGCCCCTTTGCAACTTTTGTTGGAGAATGGCAGTCATTGTGGCAGTGCTCACAGGGGCACTGTTAAGAAAAGATTTAGTCTTTCAGAGGGTTGGTGCCACTTTCACAGGAGTAGGCTCACTCTGTTGAGAGCAGGATGTCAAAAGGCAAGGCCACCCCTCCTGCCCTCTTTTCTGTGCCTGCTTCCTGTGCCTCTGCTTTCTGCCATGACTTGAAGCAGCACAAGGCTCCCCCTCCCCACTGCTGGCGCCATGGTCTTGGGCTTCCAGCCTCCAGAACTTTGAGCCAAATATACATCTTTCCTCTGTAAACTCCCAGGATCAGGTGGTCTGCTATAGCAACAGAATACATTAAGACAGGAAAGCTGGGCCTGTTTGAGCTTTCTAAAATATCTGGGAAGATTTCTTCTGTATCCTTCGAGACTTGCAAAGGAGATGGTCAAATGTTGCTGTTTTGGGGAAAGTTCTAATTCCAGGAAGGAGAAAGCTGAGGAAAGGGGTGTGTGTGGGATCCATGTGGGTGCGCCTCCAGGCAGCCCCGCCTTGTCATGCCTCTTTTGGGCAGCTGCTTGATCCCACAGACCTTGCCTCTGCTGCCTGCTCAGCCTCAGCTTGTCTGCAATGGCTGCCATTAATGACAATAGCTTTCCTGTTGCAGTCTGATGCTCAAGCACTGTGCTCAGCACTAACACACCTGCTGATGATGCTCACAGCTGCCCTCTGCGGCCATACTGTTTTGATCCCTATTTTAGGGCTGAATTCACTCAGGCCATAGAAGGCAATCTGCATTAGGTCAGAGAAGAAAATGGTGGAGCCAGAATTCAACTTGGCCATCTGCCTCTGCTGTCACTGGAAGCACAGGACAGGAGGTCTTCGAGCCCCTCCACCTGGGCCAGCTCAGGGTGACACGGGACACAGGCTAAACACTTTTTCAGGCCAGATGAATTTAAGAGCCCCCACCCTCTCGGTCACAGCTGCCTGCAGCATGGAGGCCAGCACCTGCTTAGACCTGGGAGCAGGAAGAAGGGGTAGGGAGGAAAAGGGAATGGGCAAGGAGAGGGTCACAGGAGCGTTCTGATCCCACCCAGTGTTTTGATCAAAATATCTATGAGAAGGAAAGGAGGGGAGTAAAGGAGAAAAGCTCTAAAAATAAACTTAGCCATAAACCCAGTTGTGCATTAATTACTCTGAAGCCATTATAGCTTGAAAACCCCATAACTTTAATGGAGGCTATTATAAGCATAGTGGCAAAATTGTGGAGCTAATTATCAGGCGGTTATTAGTAGAACAGAAAGCACCCCAGCTGTGGAGAAAGTATCTGGCCAGCAGGGGGCAGGTTTGTGGGAACCGGTGCTTCCTCAAGGGCAGAGGGCATAGGGCAGGGCAGAGGCTGCATCTACACTGAGTCTGAGATGGTGTCGGAGGGTGGCCAGCTCCAGCCACCACCCACATACTGAAGCTTCTGCCTGGGCTTGGAGGAAGCATGGTGGCTGCCTGTATCACAAGCTGAATCCATCAGGGACTCAGAGGATGAGAGAGGCAGAAAAATCAACCCAGAGAGGAGAGGCCTGGCCACAGGGAGGGGTGGAATGGGAAGTCGGGAGAGGCAGGGTAGGGGCGTGGCCTGGGTCCTTGGCATTGTGACGTGGCACCCCAGACTGCACTGTGCCTGTGACTGACCCCGGCCTCGGCCAGGGTACCCACAGCCTCCAGTGGGCCGAGAGGAAGCTGCATTGTGGGTGCAGTTGGTGAAGCCCAAGGGGAACGGTCACTGGAGGAGCAGCAGGAGCAGGGGCTGCGCCACGCCTTCATGGAGCTGTGCTCCTGCTGCTCGTCCTCCTTGACCTCCACCCTCAGCTTTAAAGCACGGAGGGTGCTGGAAGAGTCTAATGATTTTCAGTTTTGCCATCTTGGCAACATGAAGCTAAGGCAGCTGAGGTTTCTGATTTTTGGAGGCTTGAAAGGTTGGAGAAGCGAGGCAGGTGTGGTCCAGGTGGGCATCCAGGCCAGTGTGAGACCCGAGGGTTAGTGGTGTAAAGCTCCCCACAGAATGTTTTATGATGAAGAGCCGCAAGCCTGGGGAATTGGCATGCCCAGGAACATTCTCCCACAGGAATTCCTGTCAGGGCTTCAGGATGCCGTGGGCTGTGCATGAGAACAAGGGCTGTCCAGGACTCACACACTATGTGTGTGTGTGTGGAGGCACACAAGTCAGGCTGAGGGCACAGTCTGGCTGCCCCAGGAGCAGCCAGGCCTATGAGGGCCAGGGCAGTGTGTGAAGTTGGCTCAAGGCTGGCCCTTCTGTAGGCATGGAGTGGCTTTCTTCTAACCCTGCATGTGCTCCAGGAAAGCCTCTGCCATGTCCCCAACCCTGAAGAGGAAGCTTACTGAATTCCACTCTGCAAATACTAATTGCACATCTGTACATCTATAGCAGGCAAGGCACTGTGTTAGATCCAGGAACAATACAGCAACGTGTGGAGGAAGCTGGGCATCACCTAGCCATAGTGAGGAGAGATGTTACACAGGGCATTTCCAGGGAGGGTATGCGTGAGGTACATGCAAGCTTTGAGAGTTATGTGTGTGTGCATGTGTGAGCATATGTGTGGCAAAGGTTAGTTACAGACAACTCAAGACCCACCCATGCCACTCATTTTGGAGGATAAGCAAAGTCTTCCTGCCCTGTAGGATTGGCGCAGTTTGTCGGTTAATCAGAAACCCCAGCAAAGGGAGGCTTTTTTTTTGAGAATCCTATATACATGCCATACACATCTCAACATAAGGACATTTAAAGAGCCAGCTGTTCAACAGTTGATGTTTCCTCATGCTTGCTCATATGTGACTGTTTTTCCAGAGTCCAAACTACTCAGTGGTAGCCAGCTTTCAGGCCTCTTGCCTTCTCAACACAGGGCCCTGCTTCTCCTGGTCCAAGGAGAGGGGATGGGATGCCACCCTGCTCTGCTGGCCCCCGGCGCACACGGCCAGGCCTGGGGTCTCCAGATCTGATTTTGCTGCAGTGACTGGAAAACTGAGGGACAACTGGTGACTGATCTGTGCACAGCGCCCATTCGTGGGCTTACAACTGTCCTATCAATCTTCACCTAATTTGGAGAATGCTTTTTCTGCACTCATTTTCTGGCGTCTTTTGAGAACATTCTATCTAGTTTTCATAGAAATAATGCACTTATCTCAACACACCATTTCAGTGGGTTACATGGTACTCCACTGTAACTGGCATTTCCATCATAAACAGGGACAAATATTTCTGCCTCTTGGGGAGCAAATATCTGCCCAACCACAGCATGCCATGTTGGTGCTGGCTGTGGTCCTGTGTGGGGACATTAGGCAAATTGCTGGGTCTCCTGAGGAAAAGTAGAGCCGGAGCTGTGCTCGGCGGTACCGCATTTCCTAGCACACACAACACCGGGTCCATGCCCAGCACTGCATTAGTCTATCCAGGAGCCTGCGTCCCCACAGCACTGAGAGAGGGCAGAGACCTCCTCCTCATGTAGATCATAACCAG